GGGGGCCGCCTCTGCCCTAATCCCCAGTATAAGACGCTTGGCATCATGCCTGGCACAGGTGTGGACTCCATACAAGTGAATGAATGATGCTCGGGCTGGGTCCCGGGCACTGGGCTGACGGGCCCTTTCCTTACAGATGCCCGGGAGGGGAGCCGAGGGTGGGTGTACTCACTCCCATTTGCTAGCTTAGGAAACAGGCCCTGAGAGCCAAGGCCATATAGCCAGTCAGTGCCAGGGTCAGGCCGCAAACCCAGGAAGCTTCTGCTGCCAACTGCCTGTTCTCTCCACGCCCCCCCGCTGCTCTCCAGGACGTGCACTCACTGACTGGAGTCTCGTCATTTTCAAGGCAGCTCTCCTTTCTAACAATCAGTGAGCCGTGTTCGACAAGCTGGGGGCTCCTTGGGGCGGCAGCTGTATCCCGCTCATCCTTACATGCCCCATGGCTGCCGGCACAGCCCTTGAACACAGTAGATGCTCAGACCATGTCTGGGGGATTAATCTGTTCACACCGGCTGAGGCTGCATGCTTTGCTTCTTGCACAGTATGGCGGTCACTTATAGCATATAAGAGAAATGGAGGAGATACTTATTATCGGGCCCTTTCCCACAGAGAGCTGTCCCCCACAGCAGGACCAGGGCCTGCCCTGAAACCCACTCCTGGAGCTGAGATGAGGGCTGTGGCATGTGGGGTCAAGGCCACCATCAGGGTCAGACCATGTGTAGGTTAGACCCTGCCACCCGCACACAGAGAATGAATGCTCTTGCCCTAGCTAGTCCCAGCGAGAAAGAGCTGAGGCTGCTGCAGGTTCTGTCCATGGTGCTGAACTCTCCCCAATCCCACCTTGTTCTCTAGCCCAGCGACTAGAGACTCTTGGGGAACCAGGTAGAAATACAGATTCCCTAGCGCCTCCTTTGGAGATTTGGGTCCTGCAAATGTATAGCTCAGGGCCCTGGAATATGTCTGTACCAAGCACCTGTGACTCCTGGTCCTGGCCCGAGGTTCACTCTCTTGCACCTAAGCAGTCAGCTTTGTGAAATGCCTGCTGGGTGCCCAGCACTGCGCCCAGCACTGCGCCAGTCGCTATGAGGTACAGAGATGCCTCCGCTAGGGCCCCTCCTCTGGAGGGACTTTCCAAAATCATTCAGGACATGTGGGAAGGGGAGGAGGGGAGTACTGCCTCTGTTTTATGGGTATCCTGGGCTAGGTACATCGCTCCCCTTTATCCTGCAAGAGAAATAGGCACATGGCGACAGCCCCATTCATAACCATAGCATCTGTATCTTTCCTTATGGCCTCCATAGCCCTCCCCACAAGGCAGCGTGGGACACATTCTGCTCCTTCTGACCTCCTCAAGGATCAAGACCCAGACCCAAATCACTGAGCACATCAAGTCTTCTTGACCCCCGCTGCCCCACAGCCCCCCCTCACCAGATTCTAGTCCCTCCTCCTCATGTTGCATGTTATCAGTTACATGACATGCTGTCCCGACTGGTATCAGAGCTCGCCACTGACCGTAGGGCTTGCACCTGATTCCCCTGTGTATCCTCTAATGCAGAGAAACACACACACACACACACACACACAAAGGGGATGAGTGGTAAGTTCTTATTGGCTGGCTGGCTGGGGGGAGTGGTGAGTGGTGGAGGAATGTGTCCAATGACTGCGCCCGAGGAAAGTGCTGCTGGGTTACAAAGCAGCTGGGACAAGTGCTCAGAACCAAAAGAAATCAGGGTGGGCCTCGGGGAAGCCAGGCAACGAGCCAAATGCAGACCAGGCAGGGTCAAGGTCTGCCTCTCCTTTCTCTGGGTGTTTGGGGAGAACAGGAAGCGGAGTCGGGTCAGCTGTTTCTGATGAAAACAGATGTTCTCTGGACCTGAATGTGGGGCATGGAGGAGGGGGCAGGGGAAAGAGAAAGGGAAGGTGGAGCGGCCGAGCCAGCGAAAGGGAGCGTCCACAGGCCCCCTTCATTTCGGGTGTTATCCTGAAATGGATAAGTGACATAATGAGTCCCCTGGGCCCCTCACCGGCTCCAACAGCCATCCCCATTTGGTCATTCTTACTTCATTTGCCCCTCAGGCACCTTTTTAAAGAAAATTCTGGATGTGTTATCATTTTATCCATAAGTATTTCAGAACATGTCTCTCACATATTAGAACATTCAAGGGAAACTCCTTATTGTTCTCAGGCCTAATAAAATTAACTACTTCTTAATACCAATCGAATGCAAGTCCACCTTCAAATTCCCTCATTCCCCCCCCCCACACACGCAAATGTCTCTTCAGGGTCCATTTACTGGAACCAGAATCAGAACGAGGTCCCTATGTTGTACCCTGCTGCCAGGACTCTCCGATCTCTTTGGGTCTCTGACAGTCCACACCCCCTTCCATTTCCACACCAATTTACTTGTTGAAGAAACGAGGTCCTTGTCTTCACTGGTGATTGGTGGACTGAACCCCCACGGTGTCACTTCACACGTTCCATTGCCCCCACCCCTATCTCCAGAAAACTAAATATCTCTGGTATTTAGATCCAGAAGGGGGGGCTGTCCAGGGTCAATTACTTCTGCAAGCAGATTTCCAGGGCGGCACTGTGTCCTTCCGACTGCATCTCTCGGGAGCCCCTAACATCAAAGCTTCCTTTGGGGGGAGACATTGAGAACGATCAGGGTCACCAGCCTGACCCTCGACCTTCCACTGTGGAACTCCCCACCACCTCGCCCCCAGGGGTTTTAGCACTGATGGAGCTGGAAGCGATGTGAGAAACCCATTCACTTGTCTTCTACTCATCCTGGGATGAGCGTCTACCTTGGGCCAGGCCGTCAGCTGCGGTGAACAGAACCAACACGGTCCCTGGGGCCGTGTAGCCGACGGTCAGACGGGACAGAACAGCAAGCCCATGAGTGAGCAGAGGCACCAACCAAGGTGCATCTGGGAAGCTGAGAGCTGTGCAGAGATCGATCGACCACAGAGCGAGGGGACTGACAGGGACTGCTGTCAGCTGGCCACTCGGTACTGGGTGACCAGGGGGAGCATTCCTAGGAGGGGACGTTGCAGCTCAATCCAGCCATGCACACAGGGTGTGTCCCAGGGAGAGGGAGGAGCCAGTGCAGGCGCAGAGCCTGGGCAGCCCCCAGGAGAAGCCAGGGGCCAGTGTGCCGGGGCAGAGCATCGGGGAGGCCAGCGAGCACGCTGCTTTGCTAAAGCAGGCGGGACGGATGATGGCTAGGGCCTGGGTGGCGGAGTGGAGGTGACCCCAGGCCAGCACCCCTGCCACCCCTCTCACAACTGAGGACCCTGAGCTCAAAGAGGGCAGAGGGTGGTGTTTATGGAGACACTGCCTGTGCCAGGAGCTTTCTGCGAGGTCTCCAGACAGCTCACTGCGTAGAAGTCACTGTGACTGTTTTACAGGTGAGACCCATGAACCCTGGAGTTGCCCGCCCAAGGGTGTAGAACAGGAGGAAAGGAGGGTGCACCCAGGCCTGGTGAGGGTCCACAACCCACCAGAGTCGTCCCACACTGAGATGACCTCTGCAGGGCCTGGTTGCTTCAAATCTTGGCTCTGGCGCCCAGAAGCCCTAAGACCTGGACTAAGGGACTTCTCCCTCTCTGTGTCTCAGTTTTGTAGTCTGTAAAATGGGGCACAGCAAGACCAAGGCAGGGGAGTCCAACCTTGCCCCCTAGTCCCAGCCCACACGGGCCACCTCAGCACACAGCACAGGCAGCTGCATACTCTCGCACGCAGACACACAGGGGTTAAAGCCAGACTCCTGCCTCCATCCCAGTTCTGATCCTTGCTGACTCCGCTCCCCTCCCTCTGGCAGCTATTCTGGGACAATGGAGGCAGCAGATGGCCTGCTCCCTCCACTCGACCCTCGGAATCGGGAACAACTCACGAATCTGCTGCTGCTTCTAAAAGCAGGCTGGCAGGCAGCCTTCCACGTACTGAGTGGGGAGGACACCACGCCACCCCCACGGGCTGTGGGGCCAGGGGCCACTCCTCCTTGGCTCACGTCCCACCAACCCGGCATCCGGTCAGCCCAGAAAGGAAGGATGCTTTGGAAGCGCCCAAGCACTCTGGCTCAGCATTCCTGCCGCGCGACCACCAGCGCACAGTGGGCTCTCACCGGGGCTCTGGTCACTCTGCGGGAAACGGGGCTGAGGTGCTGGTGCTCAGCGGTTGCAGACAGAGCCACAGGAGGGACAAGGCCCTCCAAGGGCTGGAGGGTGCACTCCAAAGGAGCCCCTCCCTCCCTTAGGCTGTCTCCTCCCTCTTCCCCAAGCCCAGAGCCCCCCTGGGACCCTGACTGCCCACATCACTGAGCAAGATGTAAGTGGGGAGGAGACCGCCCATCCCTAACCTCCCGGACCACGTACAACCCGGCCTGAAATTTCCCCACGATCACCTCATTCATATACCCACCTCCTTGGGACCTGAAATTCTAAAGGCACTTGCATTTACCCAGCTCCTACCCTGGCTGTTGAATCTCCCCTTTATCCAACACCAGAGGCTGAATCCCTCAGCTCTGAGCCTCCATTCTGCCCCCTGATTCTCTGGCCATCCACAACCCAGGCTCTGAGGGCAGAGAAATGGAGGAATAGCTCCCACACACCTCGAGGCACACACATACTCACACACGTGTACCTACACACACGTGTGTGATGGGGTATACAGACACCGCACATAAGCCTTCTGCACAGACACGTGTAGAGGGTACATGCCACACTCACCCCTTGTCACACCATGACTCGCACACTGAAGGCAGAAGGTAGTCACCGTTTGCTGAGCCAGGTCCCTTCCTCTATGCCAGGCTCCACACCGCGCCCTACAAACACAGTCCTGTTTCCTCCAGGCACCAACCCTGGCCAGAACAGGAACATCTGGCCAAATAGGCCAGAGAGGCCAAGTGGGCTCCGCAAGGTCACACAGCCAGCAAGGGCTGAGCAAGGCTGTAGAGCTAGGGACCCACGTGTAACAAAAAAAAAAATACTGCTGGGCCGAGAGAGGCTTGAACAAATAGGGGTTTAATTTTCTCACAAGACCAAATGCTAGACAAGGCAGGTGTGGATGACGGTCTTGGCCTTTCCTTCAGGGCAGCGAGGCGGCTGCCCGGGTCCAGACGGCACACCCACATTCACAGCAGGGAGACGGAGCATGGGCTGCAGAACTTCCCCAGAATCCTCTCCAACAGGCAGCCCTGACTCCAGGCAGAGCTGGGGCACGTGGTAGCTCCGAGCAGCAAGGGGAGCTGAGCAAGTGGGCAAGGGAGTGAACAAAGCCGGGTTCCACTGGCCAGGGTTGGGGGGCAAGGAGCTGGAAACCAGTCAGTAACAAGAGTACCTGCACAGGCTGTGCCTGCTGCCCCTGCTCCGCCTACATCCCCTCAGTGCTTGGGGACCCAGCCAGGGGATTCAGGGGGTGGGTGGCCCAGTGCTTGAGCCTAGGGGGATGACTGAGAGACTGGAGCTGGTATAGACCCAGGGCCCATGGGAGCCCAGCCCCTGGGGCCTCTTTGGCCTTTACCTGGCCCCTGGCCCCCACCTCCCAGGAATCTGGGATGACTCTACCCACCCCATCACTATCCAGTCCTGGGCTTGTCCACCACTTGGAGGCCCTGCCAGGGACTACTCAGCCCCAGGCACTTGCCACGGGCCCTCTAGGCTGCCTTGAGAGGTGAGGGACAGCCAGAGGCTCAGCTGCACAGTAGTCCAGCAGTTCAGGACTCATCGGGCCACCTGCTGTGGGCACCAAGGAGTGTCCGGGTAGAGGAGACAATGCAGGGAGCGGAACCTGGGGAAAGACCAGAAATGAACAGAGCGGTCACCCCACTCCCACCCTCACCGCCGTGGGCCCCTAGGGGGCGCACTTCACAAAGACGGTTTGAGTAGGCCTTCTCCACCTCAGCACTCTTAACCTCTGGGGCCTGCTACTTCTGCCAGTAGGGCGGTCCGGTCCCTGCAGGACGCTGAGCAGCATCCCTGGACTCTGCCCACCGGATGCCAGCAGCATCTCCCTGAGTCCTAACTTTCAAAAACGTCTCCTGACATTGCCAAGTGTCCTCAGGGGGCCAAGTGGGCCCTGGTTGAGAACCACTGATTCAGAGAGACTTCAAAGGCCAGCGAAGACATAAAGAGACCTCAGCTGAGACTGGACCATCCAGCCCTACAGAGCTGAGTCTCCAGCTGGCTTTAGCCCCGTGGGCAGAAACCCAGGGACACTGGAATCTTCAAGCTTAGAGAACTTAACATCAATCTTAAGCCTCTTGGCAGGATAGCCATGGCTGGCACACCTCCACTGATGGGGAGCTCACCCCATTAAAAGGCAGCTCCCTGGCCCCGCAGCCCTCAGAACAGCTGTGAGCCTTCTGCTCCCAGACACAGTTCTGCAACGCATAAGAGCCAGGGGTCCTGCCTTCCCCAGGGCACAGATGTCTTCTCCATGCTTCAGAGAAACCCAAAGTCCAGACACGAAGACTTGAGGGGAGGGGGAATCCCTCACGACCTCCCCAAACAAATTTGATGCTCCTGCCTCCTCCCACCGACCAGTCACACTGTCTTCCTTCACTTCCGTGGACAGGTCCTGTCCCCTCCTGCCACCGTACATCACAGGCTGCGCTCTCAGCTGCTCTACAGCGATCGGGGCGGAGCTGAATGGCCCCACTCAACATGCAGCCAGTTTGGGGGCAGAACCAGGTACCCAGGTGACACTTCAGTCCCCATCCCAACCCTCTACCCACTGAAAAGAACCACTGAAGAGCATCGAGGAAATGGAGGGTCTACAGAAGGTCCCAACAGCTGGAACAGGGACGGGACCACAGAAACGGAGATCACGTGGAGAGTGAGCAGTGGGGAGGGGAGGGGAGAATGGGGAAAAGGTACAGGGGACAAGAAGCATAAATGGTGGTACAAAGTAGACAGGGGGAGGTTAAGAACAGTATGGGAAATGGAGAAGCCAAAGAACTCATGTACAGCCCATGGACATGAACTGAGGGGGCGGGGAATGCTGGAGGGTGGGGGATAAAGGGGAGAAAAAGTCAGGACAACTGAAATAGCATAATCAATAAAATATACTTTAAAAAATATTTTAAAATTTTTTAAAAAGAAGGTCGGATAAAAGTTCCCCATCACATCCTGGAGGTCCCCATTAGAGCAGCCCCTTACTCAGCAAAGACATGTCAGTCTTCAGGGGGCTCCTGAGGAATCCCAGAGGGCCAGATTGCTTTACAAAACGTGGAGACTGTGGCCCAGAGAGGGCAAGGCACTTGCCCAAGATCACACAGCAAGCCAGTGGTGGAGCGGGGACCGAAATCTATGCCCTTCCTTCCCAGCCCTGTGCTGTCAGCCCCGGGGCCTCTCTCACACCCCTCCCTCCAGGCCCACATTCCTCCCATTCTACACTCTCAGCCTCAAACCCACCTGGAAGGGTCCTCCTCGGGGGAGAAGGGGCCCTGTAGCTTGATCACGTTGAGCTTCCCCTCAAAAACACCGTAGCTGAGGGTGACCTGGGCAGGGAGAAACAGAGAAGAGTGGGAAGGGTTGGGGGTGTTCCAATGGGGACCCCACAAGGGGGCAGGATTGGGGGAGAGCAGGAAGACACACGAGGCATCCTGAGGACGCAGAGGCCTCCTCTGAGCCTGAAACCCCACCAGCAGTGGGCGCCTCACTGGGAAGCCCACCCCCAGGACTTTAAGCTCCTAGAGCACCTTCAGGCCAAAACCCCATTTGTGCCCCAGCAGTCCCGGTCATGTGGGAGGCTGCAATGACCCCTCATGTGCAGGTTGGGAGACTGAGGCTCAAGAGGGAGGCACCTTTCCAGTAAGTTGGGTGCTGGGTGGAGGCTTCCCGAGACTCACTGTGAGGCCTGGCAAACCCCTCCCCCAGCACCCCAGAGCCCTGGGGTCTCCATTAGCAACAAGAACATGGGAGTAATGACCCCAGTCGAGAGACTATCAAGGACAGTGGTTATACACTGGCTTAGGGGCCACCCCACCAGGGCTCAAGCCCCCCTCTGTCATGTACTAGTTGTGTGCCATGGTCAGCTCCACTCTCTGGGCCTCAGTTTCTCCATCTGTAGAATGGAAACAATGTTGGTACCAACCTCATGTGAATCTTGGGAGGAACCAGAGTTAAAGAAGATAAAGCCCCCAATGCAGTACCTGGCACAGTGGGTGCTCTGGAAACACCATTAGGGCACCCTGGTTTTGGATCCCCCAAATCTGTCCCTCTTTCCTGGCTTCAGGCCCTGAGATGCTAATGGGACCAACCCCACACCTCACACCCCAGTCCCAGGCCTCACCCATCTAGACTAACTCTAGGCGCTGGTAGGGGACAGGTCATGTGACCCGAGTGAGCCACCTGACTAGTGAGCGTCTGCCTTGGCATCTGGCTGAAGGAAGCGCTCTCCTCCTCGGGCTGAGAGGAACCTGAGCCTGCCATCTTGCCCAAAAGGGGGCGAGCCTGCCTGAGACCGAGGCCCGAGTCAGGAGAGGCAGATGAAAGAGCGAGCAGAGTCCCAGGGCTCAGACCCACCCGGATCAGCAAGCCGAGCCAAGCCCTCAGCTTCTCACGTGTGCAGGCCCCTAACTGTCTTTTACTTAACCGGTCTGTGTCACTTCACTCTCGCTTGTGGCCAAAGGGTTCTGACTCGCACGACTGGGCAGCAGATCCCAGTGGCCTCCCAGCCAGGACCACCCACAGGGCTGGAAAACCCAGGAGCTGGAGAAGAGCATCTGTGTGCAAGGCAGTGCCAGTGGGACCTCAGCAGCGTCATTACCTGCCCGGTGGGTGCATGGGAGGATGGGCCCCCCCCCGACCTGACATTGCACTTGAGTGTCCTCACCAAAGACCTGGTCCTTCCCAGTAACATCTGGGTGGGAAGGAAAAGTGGTGAGCAGGAAAGCTCTGACAGAGGGAGGGGCTGCTGACCTGCAAAGTTGGAGAGGACAGGCCTGGCCCCTTCAGAGGGATGCGGGGAGTGTGGAAGATCAAAGAAAGGAGAGAGGGACAGGAGGTAGCAGGTTGGGAGCAAGGTTATCTGAATCTGAAGGCAATCTGAATCATCTCGGCTGCCCAGGTCCCCTTGGGGACCAGATCACAGAAGGTCAGCATCACACCCTGGAGGTCTGAAGGTAGAGTCACTGTACGCCCTCCAGGGGACCCTTTCCCTCAGTGTGCCTGTCAGGAGGGATAGGTCAACACACAAACACCTCCCCCAGGGCCACCCTCGCCAAGGCCGCTCACCTGCTCCGGGAGCTGGGCGGCCCGCAGCAGCTGCAGGGTCTCCAGGTGGGAGTGGAAGAGTGGGCTGGGCTGCAGGTGGCCCCCCAGCTTGCACTCAACTATGTAGCCCACAGTACAGTCGTCGGGCAGCCGGATGCGCGCAGAGGTGTCCACGAAGCGGCGGCCGCTGGGGGAGACAAAGCAAGCTATAGCTGCAGTTCTGCACCCTCAACACCCTCCCACCTCCCAGAAGGGCCTCCTTGGGGGCTGGCTGGCAGAGCAGAGCTCTGGCATCCACTTCCTCCTGCCCATTCTGGGACCCCCAGAGCTCTCACTCAGGTCCTTCCTGCTGCCAAGTCCCCACACACAAGTCCCCAGCTGCTCTCAGCACCCCCCACCCTCCCCACCCACCTGGGGTCTCTGCTTACCTGGCCCACGGGGCCATCCTTAAAGCCAGTTTGCGGTTGATGCAGAAGCCAGCACCCCCAGTGGCAAACCAGAACTGTACCAGCCTCTATGGGGAGAAGAGGGGAGAGCCAAGGTGCAGCGTGAGCCTGGGGTGGAGGGTGGGGGGTGGGCAACAGTTGGGCTACGCCTCATCTCCAGCTAGCATGACTCCAAAGCCTTTTATTTCATACTGCCCCAGGGTCTTTCTACAGCCTAACATTACTGTGCCCATTTTACAGACAAGGAAACTGAGGCCCAAGTGACCTAGCTAATTAAGAGTGATAGGGACCCCAATTAGACCCCAATCTGGCGGGGTTCTGGTTAGGGGGGCACGTGTGCTGTGTGACGGCCCTGCACACCTTACCCCTTCCCCAGAGAAATGCCTTACCTTAGCCCATGTGGTTTGGGAGGGGCTGCCACATGGCGCCTGCTCCCCCAGGCCACAGAGGTGGGCAGGTGCCCCAGAAATGACCACAGGACCACCCACAACCCTCCACCCTGTGACTGGCTCAGGAACAGGCACGTGACTTAGGCCAGCCAATCCCTTCCTGAGCTTTCTAGAGGAGCTGTGAGGAAGAGGTTTCCACCAGGCTCACAGCTACAATCCTGGTGCCACCTGCATGGGGACACTTACACTGACTGTCCTGCCAGTTGTAGCTCCTAGGGGCCAGCACACCCCTTGCCATCTCTTTAAACCCCTTTGGGATTTAAAACACTTTCCACGCCTGCCCGGTCCCACCAAGGCCTCTTCTAGCTCCTCTTTGAGGCCCGTGAACTCAGCCATGAATCTCCTTAGGGCTTCGGAGAACCCCGCACCCTTTCAGCTGTCCCGCCTCGTGGGCAGCGAGCTCCCTACAGTTATTCTCCCGAGCACCCAGCTGTTGCCTCACTGGCGCGCGTTGCATCGGGCTGCGCCTCCCACAATGCAGCGGTGAGAAGACCCTCTGCGGGCAGTTGGGAAGCTGATACTGGGCCCCGCTTCCTTCACTTTGAGGAAGTCATGCCCCTCTCTGGGCCTGAGTGGTCACCTGCCAGTGCAACACCGGCCCTAAGTTCTGAAATTGACGGTTCCCCTGGCCCGGAGGTGTCCTGCGGCTGCAAACCTCTACGAGCTTGGTTTTGGAAACACCGTCTCTCAGAGAGAGGTCGGGGCTCAACAGGGCGAAGGAAGGGCTTCTCAAGGACCCAGCGCCCAGGAGGTCTTACTAACGAGTGCTCAGTGAACTAACGCTCGGCTGCTGCCTCCCCACCCCCATCCGCTCAGTAGTAACTGCAGCAGTGATGATGGAGCCACCTCTGCCCTGAGCAGTGACTGCCCCGCTCTTTGCTAAGGGCTGTGCCGCAGATGAGGGGACCCAGGTAAACAGAAGTGAGGCCCCTTGCCTGAGGTCCCAGAGCCGGGACTGACCCCAAGCCAGGACTCTTGCCCTTTTTGCTGGGCCACCCTGGAGGGCCCCAGGGTCTGACCGGGCCGGGACACCCTGGGGCAGAGTCCTGGCATCCCACTGGTGGCATGTGCCATCTATGCCCAGTGTGGGGGACCGGGCCTGGGTGTGCCCCGCAGGGTGCTGAACGTGCGCAGGAAGAACAGGGCCCGGAGGCGAAGGCTGAGCCGGGGCGGGGACTGGTTGCTGACACTTCTGGTGCCTGTTATGTACCAGGTCCCTCTCCAAGGGCTTGGCTAGATACCACTTAACTCTTTCTCTTTTTGCTCACAGCCACCATACGAGCAAGGGACTATTACCACCCATTTCACAGATGAGAAAACTGAGGCACACAGAGGGGAGGTGACTTCCATCAAGGTCACAAAGCCAAGACGTGGCAGAGCTGGTGTGTAAACCCAGGGCATTGGGCCCCAGAGCAGAGCTCGCCATCTCTAAGGTCAGGAGGGGCGAGGTGGTGTGGGAGCCCCGGGGGCCCCTCAGCTCACCTGAAATCCACTCACAGACTCACACCCTGGGGCCCAGGGAAATTTAATTAGGACTCAGGCTCATTAGCTGCTGGTAATTAAGGTGCTGTGTTTCCTGCTCTCTTGGTTTCTCTAATGAGGCAGATGGCGACCTAGGGAGGGGGCAGCCCCACGGCGCTCCCGGCTCCCGCGGCGGGCAAGGCCTCCAGACAGGCCACCCCCAGGCCTGTCTTCTCCCAGGTCCGAGGGAGCCCTAGAGGCCTGGCCCCCCAACACTGAAAGCCTGGTGGCGTCCTGGGGACAGGTGGGAAACCAGGTGACAAACTCATACTGAGAAACTCTTTGTTCACCTGAGAGTCAAATTCAACAGGTATCCTGGGGTTGGTTCCTTTGTTTTCTAAACCTGGCACCCCTGACCAGCGCCCACCCAGGTCTGGAGCGGAAACTGGCCCTGGGCCCTGTTGTGCCAGGTGTCAAGTCCTCGGTGCTGGTCAGTGAGGTCTGGAGGGAGAGGGGGTTGCCCAGGGGAGGGCAGGGCTCGGGTGCCTGAGTCCCAGGTGGCAAACAGCTGGCCCAGCAGTGTCCAGCCCTGTGACCACCTGCACAACTATAGGACACAACAGGGGGCCCAGAGCCCTGCTGGTGTCAGGAAGCCTCAGCCCATCCCCGCCCTGCCTGTGCGACCAGGACAAGCCACAGCTCCTCAAGGACCAAGTCCCTGCTCCGTGACAGTCTCTCTGCCTGACCAACATTATCTAAGTCTCCCCTTTCACAGGGAGGGGACTGAAGGTCAGAGGTGAAGCCACCAGCCCAAACACACAGCCGTGAGGCCAAATCTGAAGCCCAGAGAAACCACTAACCCCCCCCCCAGTCCTGGCCTCCATGGGCCCTTGGCCAGTGCCCCGGGCTGTCAAGGAGGGACCCACCGAGCGATTGTGTGGCTGCGGCTCCGAGGCGTGGATGGGCCGGTTCAGGCTGGGCCGGCCTATATAGACATCGAGGGCCTGCGGGAGGGTTCTTAGCAGCTTCAGCAGCGCCCTCGAGTTCACGTAGTTGTCATCATCCACGTGGCAGAACCACCTGTGGGGGCAGGAGGGGGACAGTGAGCTCGGAGGGGGCTTCCCCGGGGCTGCTGGCCACCGTGTCCCCATAACCGACGAACGCAGTTACAGCGCTCATGGTTAGGGTCACAGGTCTGTGCCAGGCAGCATCCTGTGTGCGCTCTTGAAGGAGGTGCACCCAGTTAGCCCGTGGGGACTAAGACTCAGAAAGGACTGGACACTGGCCCCAGGTGACACAGCCAGTGAAGGGCAGTATTTGAACCCAGACAGTCTGCCCAGAGACAAACCACGGGAGGCCAGCAACTCACAGGCGACACTCACAGGACCCAGCAACTTCCCCCTTTCCCCTCTCTCAACACAACACCCCATTCAGGAAGTGGCCAGAGGCAAAGGCCACACCTGCCCCCCGAGACCCAGACACACTCACTCACCTCAGCCCGCTGGCCAGGAAGGCGTCGAACTCAGCAGCCATCTTGCAGGACAGGGCCGGGTGGCTGTGCTCCGCAGAGCAGTTGGTGACCACGAGGTGGGGCCCTGGAGGAGCGAGGACAGGTCAGGGGGCCCCACCTCGTGGTCACCAACTGTATACACAGGGGGAAACTGAGGTCAGGGAGGGCTGACCTGCCCAGGACCCCGGAACTGGTGGACAGTGGGCTGTGCTGGGACCCAGGTGTCCTGGGTCTTGCCTGCCACAGCCCCGCCCTGCCCCACACCCACTTCCCCCGCTGGGTGAAGGGGGATCCCCACATGCTGAGAGTAAGCGACCCTGTTTTTCCTGGGGACTCTCAAGCCAGGGTACAGCCACCCGCCCCAGGCCCAGCAGTTACCCAGTCTCTCCTGGAGGCCTTCATCCGAGCTGTCAGTGAAGACAAATGTCTGGGAAGGAGAGACAGGGGTCAGGACTGGGCTTGCCAAGGACAGTGGTGTGGTGGGGGGGGAACACACACACACACACGCACACACATGCACACGCACACAACAGCGGTGCTAAAAATATGCTAACACGCTTCCTCCCACCTTCTAAGTTCTTCTCACTGGGCCACCACCAAATTAACCAAGACAGAGTAACGGGAGAAAATCAAAACTTTAATCCACGCGCGTGGAAATCCACACAGGCGTGGAAGTTCCAGAGACAGGGCGGCCAGGCTGGGCACAGGCGACATTTGGACAGAGTGGAGAGCGGGGGATGGGGACGAGATTTCAGAAGTGAGACCGGGCGGTTTGCAGGTAGTTGAGGCAGAGTGAAACCCACAGGGCAGGAAAACCCCTGTCTGGGCAGCTCAGCAGCCTCGGGGCCCCGGGGGGGGGGGGGCAGCCTCAGGGCCCCGGGGGTCTAGCTGAGAGCCTGGGCTCCTCCTGCTAGGGCGAAGATCCTCAAGGTGATCACGCCCCGGCTGCTCCGAGAGCAGGCTTCTCACGCAGGAGAGCAGGCAGGGTCCAAGGCTCCCTCTGAGTCTTGTTTCTTCACAAACAGCTTCAAATCAATATCCCAGACTGCAGCTTCAGGGGGGCGAGGCTTCGGTTCCCTTTGCAACCCAGCTGTTGTTGACACACACAACTCGCTGTGTGCTGCACACCAGCCCACACCCGCTCACTGACCGGGCCCAGGGAGCCTGTCAGTCACACAGCCTTGGCGGAGTCTCACCCTCCCCCACACCTCCTCCCCGCCCCACAGAGTCCCATCTGGCTCCTTCACTACTGCACAGACCCGACCCTACACGCTGGCAGGAGACAGACTGTGAAAGGACCCCGCACGACTTCAGGAGACAGCCACGACTTCCACCGCAGGGCCCCGACGCAGCAGAAATCGCACCTCCCGACCGGTCCCGCTCTCCCAGGCTGGGCAGGCACCAGCCGTGTGCACCCTCCTGGTCCCTGTTGAACTCACTAAGCACGGACACAGGTGTTGCGACCTGCCCCCATCACAGATGGCGAAGCGGAGGCTGAATGACGGACGACGGACCAAGGCCGTGCAGCTGGAAAGGGCTGAGCTGAGGTTCGACCCACAGGCCCAGCCCCTTCCCTGGCCCTCCAGTCCCCCCATAGTCACCACACCCCCGGGCGGGGGCTCCTCAGGCTCGAGCCTCAAGACCGAGCTCCCCACTCCCCCAGACCTGCACTTCCTCTCAGTCTCCCCATCTTGAGGGGGCCCAACACCTCAGGGTCACCAGGCCTCCTCTCTTCTCTCACACCCCCCCCATCCAGTCTGCCAGCAAATTCTGTCCAGCCAACCTGTAAGTGACCCAGGAAGCAACCTCTCCCCACCGGCCTCACGGCCACGCTGCGGCTCAGCCCACCCGCGTCACCTCCCGCCTGCTTTGCTGGCAGCCGCCTTCTCCCTGGGCTCCGTCCTGCCCCCAACTGCACGTCTGTTTTCAACACAACCCTCAAGGGAGCCAGTAAAATAAGTCAGGCCTTTCTTCCCCGACTCCCTGATGAACTTTACCACCAAACAGCCACCAGATGGAGGAACTTTCTAGAGTTTGAAGCATGAGCCAAGTGGGCCAGGGAATGTTTGCTGATGGGCCAGTAAGCCGGAATGAACCAGTGGGGGGAACAGGAAAGGAGGGTTCCCACAGCAGGGCGTGGGGGCTGAGCAGGGCGCACGGGAATCCTGAGGTTGGCACGGAGCAGTGGGCAGTGTCCTCTGAGCAAGGGTTACATGTGATGTGTTTAAAGAGGGGCCCCTGACAATGGTTACAACCTCGCAGGAAAACAAAGGGCCAGGCAGCCTGGCGGGGAGGAGGGAGGGGTTGGCTGGAGGGCCATCTGCTCCAGAGCAGGGGGGTGCTGAGAGCCCTGTTCCCCCAACCTCTCCCACCCCAGCCCCGCCCCAGCCAGCCCCAGCCCACCCCAGCCTTGCAGGGGACTGTGGGGAAGAGAAAGCCTCCTCTTGGATCACGAAACGGACCTCCTCCCCCAGCCCATCCCCTCTGCCTGGGACAAAGGCCCGCACACGAGCTCCAGCCCACTGCCACAAAGGCCCACCTGCCGCCAGGCCGCCCTTAACCAGCTGGGGTGGGCACCCAGCCCTGGAGTTAACCAGCTCAGGCCCCCTCCTAACGGCAGAGCTGAGAGGCTCCAACACCCGCCTCTCCTGCACAGATGGGGAAACTGAGAGCCAAGGTCAGAGAGACAGGTGAGCCAAAGTGGAGACAAAGGGGGCCCAGATGCAGCGGCAAAAGTGGGTCTCCCTGGGCCCCTCCTCTTCCTCCGTTTGAGGATCCTTCCTTACCTCAACTCTGCCTTAAACGACAAGACTCTAGACTCCACCTTGTGCACTGGGGGGAGGGCGGGTGCTCAACCGAGTGAATTCATCTCCTACCTCTGCTTGCTTAACTGTGCTCAGTTTTCTCGCCTGTGAAATGGGGAGAGCAAGAGTGTCGGCCAGGGACACCTTCCCCTTACCGCTTCAGTTCTGCCTGGTCGATGGTTCAAATGACATACAGCAGATCAACAGGGGGAAATCAAGTTTTAATACCTGCACACAGGGAGCTCACATGAGCAGGGAAACTCCAAACACAGTGAGACTTCTGGACTGAAAAGGGAGAGGCAGGCGATTCACAGGTAGCCGAGGAGGAGAGAACATTTGGTAAACAGATTCTCACAGGGCCACCCAGAAAGAGCGGGGCGGAAAGAGGGATCTAGCGAACAGATTGCACTCAAACCCTCCCTGCCTGTCGCATTTCGGCGGAAGGTGCAGAGGTGGCTGTGCTGAGTGAGGCCCCTGCCTGAGGCAGGTTCTCCCGAAGCCCGTTAGGCAGGAAAGGCAGAGGTCTAAACCTCTTCCTGGGCCGGCTGGCTTTCACTGCTTCCCGTCTGAAATAAACCGCACACCAGGGCAGCACATTCTGGGGAGACAAAAATGGCCGGGCAACAGCTGCCACTCGGGGTCGTTGGGAGGGTTCAACAGAGCCCTGCCCTGCGACACGCAGGTCCTCCCTCTGGCTGCCTGGCTGGCATCCGGGATTGAATCCGGGTCTCCGAGGGGCTGGCTGCTGGCCTCTCCTCTGCTGGCCAGGTCCTGCCAGGCCCGCCACCCAGGCTCCCCCCAGGCAGCTCTGGGACCCCGGATCGCAGCGGAGAAGGAAAGTGCTTCCTCCTCCCAGGCCTCAGTTTTCTCGTCCAGGGCAAGGGCACTGCCGGGACAATCAAGACGAGACAGGAAAGGGCCTCAGACCACGTGAGGCCACACTCCCAAGGCACAACAGACACAGTGCCATAAACAGGAAGGTCTGTGGAGAGGGCTGGGCTCAGTGACTTCCGCAAGTAAAACCAGAACAGCCCTGCAAGGAGAAGCTGTGGGGGGGGGGTGCCCCAGGGACGAGCCGGGGGTGCTGGGGGCCTGGTGGGGAAAGGGTTAACTTAGGGTGCTAGGACATCAGGGCCAGGAAATCGCTATGGGGGGGTGCCCTCGTCCCAGGGGGCCCTGGCCTCTGCCAGGCGTCACCCCCCCATCCTTGGTCTCTGGGAGTCCCTAACCCCCTCTAGAGGCTCAGTCACTTCCTTTCCTGAGCCACCCGCCAAAGTGTGGGGACAGTGTGTGTGTGTGTGTGTGTGTGTGTGTGTGTGCACATGTGTATGTGCATGTGTGTGTGTAAACCTGCCCCTCCAGCTCCCCCAGAGGCGATGGTCCCCAATACCCCCCCCAAGTCACTGACTCTGCAGGAGGAGGCACTGAGAGCAGGGGGTGGGGGGGCAAAGACCGACTCAGCTTGTCAGAGCCACCTCTGGGGAAGGACAGGACCCACAAGCTCCGGTCACCCTCATGCCTCCACACACGTGCACAATCTCACCCAGTCCCACCTGCCAGCCAGGCCCTGCCCTGACCTCCCGCCCACGTCCGCCTCAGCCACCAAGTCACGGCATATACACTTCCTCCCTCCCTCGGACACTGCGCCACAGGACACAAGCACAGGGACTGAGGTGGCACTCCCCTTGGCACACCTTGGCACCAGAGTCATGGGGGCAGGCAGGGGCTGGCAGGAACTCTGAAAGGATGCCCCCTACTCCAGCCCTCTCCCCAACAGGCCCCACCTAGGCCATGCCCTCCTCAGGGGCTCAGCCCCTATACTCACAGCACACAGGGCCTGCATTGGGGGCACCCCCGCGGGGGTCATGTCAGCCAGGACTCCTTAGAGGCCTATGCCCCAGCTGCCCAACATCCACCATTGATTGCCCCCAATGCCAGGCTGGCTCAGGCCGTGCAGGAGTGAAGCCTGCACCGGAACATGCAGGGAAGAGAGGAATCCCCAGGAGGGACCCGGAAGCCTGGGGCACGAGCCCAGCCTGGCGCCTAAAAGAGCCAGAGCAGCAGGCCCGAAGAGCAGCAGACTCCAGATCCTGGGAGGAAGGGGGAGTGGGCAGGCAGCTTCTCCCTTGAGACTGCCAGGGACCCCAACCCAGTAGAAAGGCCTCCAGGCACCACGCCTGGGGCCCACTGTGACCAGCCTGTCACCTGTTCCCTGGTCCTGGAGACCCACGTGTCCAGCAGCAGCTCCAAGCGAGAGCGGTGGAAGGCGCCGGTCGTCTTGACCGCGATGAAGACGTCCTGCAGCTGCAGCTCATGGAGCCGAGGGCTTGGTGGGCTCAGCCTGGGGGTCTCCACACTCTTCGGGGACAGGCGCAAGTGGTACCGAAGGGAGAGGAGCCCCATGCATAGAAGGGTGAGGAGGGCTCCTGCCAGGCCCCTGAGGGGCCGGCACTGCATTGGCTCTGAGACCCCCCACAGCTCAGCCCCCAAATCCCAACTGGATAGGACAGGGAGGCAGGTCAGACAGGGGCCCTGGCAAAGGCAAGTGTCTGGCAGGCATCAGGGGCCAACAAGGAGGGGACAGGCGGGAACTGGGGCTTTGGCCCCAAAGGCCGAGCCATGGCAGCCCCTCCACCTCCGCCTCCTGCCACCAGCCAGCCGTCCACCTGCTCTGGCTGCCCTCCCGCTGAAGCCCAGCGGGCTCTGGGGCTCCTGGCCCCGCCCCTCCCTCCAGCACAGCCCAAGAGGCGGGGCTGGCCCAAGGGAGCCCCAGAGGTGGCTGAAAAAGAGGCAGCTGAAGAGACAGCCCCATCCCTGCCAGCAGCTGCAGCGGGGGTGGGGGCAACAACAAACCCTCCAAGGCCAATAGAAGGCACAGACCCCCCTCCTCCCCACTCCCCAAAGACTCTCAGCTTAGCTCAGCGACACCCATTACATTATGGTGTCCTGGTATCCGGACTCACAGCTTTTGCTCCCACTGCTCCTCCTCCTGGATGCTCTCCCCATCCCCTGCCATCCCCATTCACGTTCCCTCCACCAGGCTTAATTCTCTTTGGACTTTCAGGCTCAGCTCAAGGGTTTCCTCCTCCAGGAAGCCTTCTCTGATGCCCACCCCCCCAGCACAACTTCCAGGGCTCTACGTAATTTGCTCGGTTCCTTTGGTCTTCACCACAGCACTAGAATTGCTCTTCCCGGGTCAGAGCTGAACAGAGAAGGCTCAGAATGATCTAGAAGGGTCCAGCAGCTCCCTCAGAGAGCCACGAGGAGCCCGGGGCCCTGGTCCACAGGAGGCCCCCTGAAGCCGCCTGCCTGTCCCGCTGTGGCCTGCCATACCCCACCTCACTCAGCGGTCGCTATTGCTGCCTCTCCCCACCAGGCCAGTGGACAGACAGGGGGCCTTCCTTCTGCCACCCCTGTCTAGTTTTGCACAGGGTCACTCACATTTCATCTTTTCCCTGCTAGAACCCTGCATTGGCTCCCCTCTCCCTTTTTGAACAAAAGCTGAAGACCACACACCCCTCCACAGGTCCTTTGTGAGCTGGCCCCTCGTTAATTCCAGCCCTACCTCCTCCTATGACCTTCCCTTTGCCCCCTCCACCCCAGACACACTGGGCTTCTGGCCAGTCCGGGCGCTCACCCATCTCAGGACCCTTGCACATGCTGCACTGTTCCCGCCAGCTGCTCTCCCTCGAGAGCCACACATCTCACTCCCTCACCTCCGTCAGGTCTTCACACAAATGTCACCTTCACCTTGAGGCCTTCCCAGACCATTTTACTTAAATTGCAATGCCTTCTCTCCAGCCAGGGCCCAGGCCCCCAGCCCATCCTTCCAGGCCCCCTTTTCGACTACGTTCTCTCCCTAGCACTTTTCATCTCCCGGCGTCCTGCTTTGTTTACTTCTCTGCTGTCTGTCTTGCTCGGGAGGACATCAGGGTAGAGATTTCTTCTGCTTTTACCCACCGAATCCTGGCACATAGAACAGGGCCTGGCACATAGTGGGAGCTCCATTAATATTTAATTAAACACAGTTGAAGTGGGTGTGGATTGAACCGGGCTGGCTGTGGTCTGTCCCTACATTAGTACTGTGGCACCAGAGAAAGGCAGCTGAGCCGCTGGGTTCCCGCATCTTCATCTGGACGCACAGGTTTTAGGACCAAGGCCTGGACACACAGCAAGGAGGGGAGGGGCTCACTCACTCTGGTGAGAAGGACCCAGTTGCCTCACCCAAGGAGCCCACAGCCATCCGCAGAGACCCGCCTTCCTGCCACAGGCCGGGTATGGCACAGCCAAGAGGTCCCAAGGGCTGAGAGAATCAAGCAGGCTTCCAGGAGGTGGCATCTGAGCCAGACCTCAAAAGGCACTGAGAATAAGGCAGCCCCCATCCCTGAACTTCCTGGCCTCATCTCCTACTACTTCCCGGTGGCCAAACTCAGCCCATTTTCTGCCTCTGAGCCTTTGCTCTTGAGGTTTCCTCTACCTAGTGACCCACTCCCCCAACACCTCCCAGGGGACTGCCCAAGTTCATTACTGTTACCAAGAACAGTCATAGGAGGACTTACAACAGCACATAGGCACACAGGACCAATAAATGCTTCTTGAAGAAAGGAATCTCAAACCCCAAGCTCAAGTAGCACCTCCTCCAGGAAGCCTGCCTGGATTTCTCCCACTGGAGGTGACCCTCCTCTGCCTGGAGGAAATCTTGGGGACCTGGTTGCACACCAATGGTTTGCTCTTGGTCTGGACTCAGCAGCCAGGCCCCTTAAACCCCAAGCCTCACCTTGCTGGCCTCAGTGTCCCCACCCCAGGGAACACCCCTTTGGCATCTGACACAGCCGGGCTAAGTATGGAGGTGGCCTATCTGTGGGGCCCTCCTCTGGTCATTCAGGGGCAGGTAAGGTGATGCCAGCACAGATGGCGGGCGGCTCTGGGATGAGGCAGGAGTGAAATCTGACCCTCCCCAAGGGTGAGCAGGGACCTGAAAGGTGGTATCAGCCTGCTGGGGGTGGGACAAGTGAGGGGAGGGAAGAGGGACCCCAGACGAGGGACGTAAGCGAGCACAAGGCCACCAACTTCTATGACAAACTGTTTAATGTTCCATAATGTGCAGCTTCTGAGTGAAAAGGGGCCCGTTAAAAACCCACGAGCCGTACATTCTGGTGACGGAGCAGCCAGGCCCCTCCCACCTGTTCCTCAAAAAGGGGGGCAGGGCAGGGAGTGGGCGCTGTGAGAACATGGTCCTGGGTGTGCTCACTGGGAACACACGAGTGTTAGTGCCCAAGTATCACGGGGGTGAGGGACATGACATTTACACAGGAGAGAGAACCACGGACGTATGTGATGACAAGACACAAGGGGCACAGGTGACAGTAACCAGGGCAGCTACGACACCCACGTGTGGACATATATACAAGAAATGTGAGCTGGACGGGCGGGAGTCCCAAAGGGCGGGCTCGGGGCTCCTGTGAGCAGAACAGGCTGAGAGCCGGGAGACCTGCCCCGTGAGAAGGTGGGCATATAAAACTGTACACAGGAGTGAGGACTCAGACACTCCAGAGTAAGCAATGACGGAGGGACACAGACCCACGAGTGGGGGCACGGAGACACAGGGGCACACAGGAAGGCCCAGAGCAGCAAGTATGGGGCAGGCAGGTGGAAGTTCCGCCCAAGGGCTCCAGCAGGATCACTCGGTGAGAGCCCAGGGCCAAGCCCAAGGGCCTGAGGAGGCTCAGGACAGGGAGGACCCAGCTCCACCACAGAGACACCAGGGTCCCCGCTGGTGGCTTCCAAAGTGCATCAGGAAGCCACAGGCATCCAAAAGGGCCCCTCAGGCCTCACTGCTGCCGCAGCCTCGGCCACTGCCACACTCTGCCCACACGAGGCGGGCCTGCTCTTGCAGGATCCGGCCGCGCACAACCTTGGCCAGCTCCTCCGAGTGGCCCCACTCGTGGGCGGGCACCTGCACCCAGGAGCAGGGCAGCCCCCAGAGCGCCTGCTCAGAACTGCGGCACTGCCGGAGCAGCTCCGAGTCCCGCCAGCCCAGCCGGCCCAGCAGACTCCTGCCAAGAGAAGAGAGTGGGCAGTGAGCAGAGTGGGGATAGACAGACAGAGAGACAGACAAAGATGGAGAGCTAGAGAGAAAGGACAAACGCAGAGGGAGTCAAAAGGAGACAAACGGCAAAGAGAGATGGAGAAGAGACAGAGAAACACGGAAAGGAGGGGGGTTCTCCCTGCCTTACCTGACTTCCCGGACGTTCTTCTCGGTCACCTCCACGTGGATGACGATGGGGTAAATCTCGTTCTGGACCAGTTCCCGCACGCCCCGAGTGCCCAGCTCCAACAGGCAGTGCTTCTTCTCAGGGGTCAAAGCTACAGTTTACTTCCGGCCCAGAGACACTAACCTCCCTGCCCCCCCACCTCCACTGCACCCCGTATCCCTATGCTGCACCCCGACCCTGACCCTGGGGTCCCATAGCAAGCACAGCCCCCTATAGGGTCCTTCTTCCCCATCCAGAGAGACCTTGGCAGTGAGGGAAGGCAGGAGACCTGGGGAAATCAGTCACTCTTCCCCTCTGGACCTCGGTCTCCCCATCTGTAAGGTAGAATTAGCCCCACCCCCCTGCCCCCACCCCCTACAGTCCCTGCCAGCTCCCAGGAAAGCGGATAATTTGAGGACAAGGAGGCAAATAGGTGAAAGGTATCAGCCAAACACCTCAAAGGTGACCCACATGAAGCCAACTGCCCCAGCCCACCCACTTCAGGGAAGGGAAGGCCCCAGAAGGAAAGGGACTTGCCCAGAGCAGCACATACCAGCACTCAGACTGGTTCTTGGGCCCAGAAAGCGGCCCCCACCCCAGCACCTACCTTCCCAACAGACTCCTGGATGGCACGAATCCTGCTGCCCAGCCCTGGGGTGGCGGGCCGGGCCTTGGGGGCTCCGGGCGCGGAGGGTGCGCCCTGTTCCTCCCCAGAGAGGCTTTCTGCACAGCCGGGAGAAGCCAGATCAGAGAACCAGTGGGCCTGGCCATCCCAAGCTGCCACCCTGCCTCCCTGTTTCCGGACACAAAGGCTCACCTGCTGGGCACACCTGGAAGTCCAGCCGGGAGCTGGGCAGGTCTAGCAGGTTTCGGATGAGCCTAGGCGCCAGGCACTCGGGCAAGAGCACCACGGGCCGCAGGGAGGGCACCAGCAGCGGCCGCACCAGGCTGTAGGGCCTGGGGCTCCACTCCGGCTCTGTGGCGGGGAGGGGTGCAGAGATGAGGGTGCAGGCAGGGCCCCGGCTCTTCTTCCCTGGGGCAGCCAGCCCCCTCAGTACTCGAAACCCCATCATCTCAAGTCCCCCCACCTTCTCTCCCGTGAAGTCCTGCTGCTGCTGCTCTCCCTACACACACACACACACACACACACACACACACAGCAGAACTGCCCATTCTGAGTCTGATCCAGGAAGCTCCCTCCTGACCTCTGCCTCTCTCTTGCCCCCTACAGGCCGTTTTCCACTCTGCAGCCAGAGAGAGGTTTTCAAACTAAAGTCAGATCTTGTAACTCTCCTGCTTTCAATGCACCAGTGACTTCCCACAACTCTCAGGGAAAAGGCCACATCTTCCACGTGGGTGACCCAGCCCTGCCAGAGCCTGGGAGCAGCCAGCCTCATGCCCCATCACAGGTTCTACTACTGCCTCGAACCACAGGGCCTTCTTGGCCCTGAGGAGGCCACAGCCCCACCCTGGCACCCAGGTCTCCATTACAAGTGTCTCCACCACAAGCTGGGTGGGGGGGACCACTGTGCCCTCTGGACCAAGAACAAAGTATGACAGAGCTGGCACTCGATACCCACTTGCTACACTCAAAGTACTCCTGATGCACCAGGCACGGCTCTGCCCCTGGGCCTTTGCACTGGGCTGCCTTCTGCCTGGAACAAGCTGCTCTTCGTCCTTGACAGCCCCAGTTCATCAGTCTCCCTTCCAACACGGCTTCCCTCACCACCCTTCCCCCCAGCCCCTTTGCCCTGATCCGGCCCAAAGCCTCACCCTACTGCCCCCAGGAACCTACTCTGGGATCCCAGCACAGCTGTACATGCCCTCCTAGACAAGACAGGCCAGAGCCCATGTGCACCCCATGCTCACACAGACTCCTGGACACATGTGCCTACGCCACTGAGTGGCTCCCTCAACCCTGGAGGCCTGACCAGCCCCCACCGGAACTCCCACAATAGGCCCTTCCAGGCCGAAGGATGCCCAGAGGTGCCCCCCTGAGCCCCACGGCAGCCCCGACTGCACCTTCACGCCCCCGCACTCACCTGAGCAGGGCTCCAGCAGCAGCTGCTCTGGGGGATCCCCTGCAGCGGGCCCAGCAGGCTTGGGCTTCACCAGCCGCAGCTGATCCAGGGCTCGCTTCTTCAGCTGGGGAGGGCAGAGGGAAAGAGGGGCGCCTGTGGCTCTGCTCCATTCCACCCTCGGGGGGCGGGGGCAGAGTGAATGGGACCCCAGGCAGAGGGGGCCCCGTGCCACCACTGCTCAGGCACCACGGAAGAGCCCCTTCCTACTGGGCCTTCTCTGGTCTCCTCGCCACCAGGCCAACACAGCTCCCCAGAGGCAAGGACAACTACCCCTAAGGGTCCAGGGAAGAGAAGCTAGAGCTGGGGGAGCCTTACGTCTGCCCTCCCCACTTTACAGATGGGAAAACTGAGGCCCAGAGACCAGAGGAACCTAAGGTCACAGAAGAAACATACTGTGGGGTCTCTTCCAATGAATCAGCCACGTGGCCTGGAGGAGGAAGAGTAATGGACCCAGTAACAGCAGCATTCATTATACCAACAGTGACAGGTGCTGAGTGCCTCCAATGCAACAGACACTAACGCTGCCCCAGAAATGCACGAACCACTGCGGCCTTCTATGCCAAGGAGCCAGGCAGACAGTGTCACTCCCCGAGTCACAGATGAGGACACAGCCTCCAGGGCGGGTCAGGAGGTTGTCCAAGGACACACGGCTGATTCGGTGGCTGGGATACAACCCCAGACAGTCTGGCCCCAGACCCCACGCTCCCAGCCCCTCTCCAGTGCCGCCGCCTCACTCTGCCTGGGAGGAGGGCCTGGCCCAGTCCTCACCCAGAGACTGGAAAAGGGGGTATGACCATTGTTTCGTCAAGTGCTGACTGTGTGCCAGGCATGCTCCTGAGCACCAGGCACTCTGTCTCACTTAGTCTCTCAACTACCCTGGTCCCGAGTCCTGCTAATTCTAATTGCTGGCACACAGACGATCAACCAAGTCCAGGTGAGGGGGACGAGGTGGGGGTGTTCTTCCTCCCCTCCCCCAGGGCTCCCAGAAAATAAAGCCTGGCCTCTCCCTTTCGGACACCAGCCTGGCGGCAGCTCTCCCCAGACCCGCACCCAGCTGGTGCAGCCCTGCTTACATTACTGCGGGACCCCCGGTGCCGGCTGGCAGACAAGCACTTCTCCTGAACTTCCAGAAGCTGCTGGGCTCTGGGGGAGCAGAGGGAAATCGTGTCATATGTTTGCAGGAGGACAGGGAGCCCCCCACTTCTCTAGCCCCCAACCTCCGCATCCTGTTCCAGAGGATGGCGAAGGATTACAGAGGGAGGAACAGGCCCCACCCCGGTGCCAGCTCCCATTGGGACCCCGCCCCCAGACTCCTGGCTCTGGGTCACCTCTGGTAATTGGGCACTGTGCCCCGGTCCAGGTCCCGCAGTGTGAGGGGGTCGACCCGTGTGCAGAACCACTCCCGCCGCCGCTTATACGCCGGGTCCACGAGCCGCAAGATCTCTTGGGCTCTCACGCACAGGGCATGGGGGTCTGCCCGTTCGGGCAGAGGGAAGTTGGCTCGAATGTAGAAGGGCTCGGCGCCCAGCCCCTTCACCCAAGCATCCAGGGCCTCGTGGAAGGACTGGCAAGCTGAGCGTGGACAGGGCAGGGGGCAGCAAGGAGAACAAGAAGAGGATGAAGTCAGGGATCGGCTGTGGCCCTCCCAAGGCCCAGGCTGCCAGGATCCCACTTTCCTCTCTTCAAAGGGACAGTCCAGGACCCAGAGGGAGCAGGACCTGCCCCGGGCCACCGAGCCCACTAGGGACAGAACGAGGACTCGAACCCAAGAGTCTGGACTACTGGCCAGAGCACCTTTCACTACTAGCTGCTGCCTGAGGACAGAGGGAGGGCACAGGGACAGACAGCCAGCACGAGGTGGTGACACAGGGGCTCTGCCGAGAGTCAGGAGACAGAGCATCTCCCTCTCGGGCCTCAGCTGTCCCACCTCCACAGACTGGCTGAGCCCTCCCGTGGGCCCTTAGCCTTGGCTCTGACCTTCTAGGACTGGTGAGTTCCCAGTCCCTCCTCCCCCCAGGCCAGACTTACCCTTGGAGTCCAGCAGGAAGGGGAGTGTGGACACCTGGTTCAAGAGCAAGGTTCTCTGCTGGGGCTCACTTTCCAGACCTGCCCCCTCCAGACCAGCAGCCTCTGCCCTTGGCTGGGAGAAAACACAGGCAGGAAGGGAGAAAAGTCAGCTTCCAAAGGCAGGGCAGCCCTGGCTCTGGCAGAAGACAGAGTGGGGCTGACTATGCCTCACAATTCAGTTGGACACCTCAGCGGGCAGGCAGACTGCCCCCTTCAACAGGGCTCTCCACCCAGCCAGTTTATCCACGTCCTTCCCATATTTAAAAGCAAGATTCTGTCAAGGTGCTGTCATTCTGCCCCACCTCCCAAGCCCTGCCCAATCAGATTCCCCTTAATGCTGGCTGGGGCGGAGCAACCAGAAGTTAATCAGTGAGCCTGCCTCCTCTCTGACCAATTCCCAGTAACTCCGCCCAGTGACCTAGATCCACCAATCAAAAGGCATCCAGATGGGGCTAAAGCATTAACTCCGCCCCCAGCCCAGAGTAGAAGAGGGGCCTCACCTCTCTGGGTTCCACTCTGGCAGACCCTGGCCCAGAGAGCACCCTCCGCACTACAGCCCCAGACCAGCTGTCCCCAGAAAATGGCAGGCCATCTGGGCCTCTGTCCTGAGATTCAGGTCCCCCAGGGGGGCTCCGGCCAGACACATGGATAGCCAGAGACCTGAGAATAGAGAAGGGAGATAGGAATTAGAGTTCGGTCAGCATTTTGCTTCAGTTCAGCATGCTTGGAAAATGACAGCAACTCCCCAAGTATGCCACGACTCCCACACTCTGCCCATTGCACCTCTCATGCCACTGCCTGGAATGCAGCCCCCGCCCCCCACTGGCAAACTCTGCTCATCCTTCAGGGCTCGGGCCAAAAGCAACCTCTCCCACCCAGACCTCTGCAAAGGGCGAGGTGGGGCTTCCTGCAGAAGCACCCCACCTGCACCTCACATGTTGCCCTTGGAACCAGGCAGCTGCTGCATTCCACTCCGGATCCCTAGCACCAAACCCAGCATCTGGCACATAGTAGGCAATGAATCAAAGCTTGCTATGCTCACAGACTAGAAAGGAAGGTCCCCATCAGAACACAGTACAGATCAGAGATGGTCCTAGCCAGCAGCTGGAGCACAGAGGGTGTGGCTTCCCAGAGGAAGCAGCGGCTGGGCTATACCACAGTCAAGAATAGAAGCATTTCAGTAACAGAGGAGATGGTATTCTTGGCTGGGGGGGCAGGGGTGATGAGCAAAGGTGTGGGGGACAGAATAGTGGGTCATGGCAGAATTTCATGACAACAATAATCGTAATAGCAGCCGACACTTACTGGGGGCTTCCCACATGCCAGACACCACATGAAGCTCCATGCCCACATTAACTTATACATCCTGGGAAACAGCTCCCAGAAGAGGCAGGCTGTAGCCAGCCTACACAGGACACAGCGTCTGGCCTTCCTCCCGTGGACAGTGGGAGATACTGATGGTTGAGACAAAGAGTCACCAAGGTCCCCAGGGTGGCAGAGCTCTGCCTGTTCCAGGGTGAGAACAGGTGAGGCCTGGTGGCCAAGCTCACAGACCCCGGGCCCCAGGACTAGAAAAGGGAGAGGCCAGGGTCAGTGGGTGTGCCCCAGCTGAAGAAGTGGCCCAGGGCAGAACCCAGGCATCCACCCACCTCCCCACCCACCCTCCAGCTGCAGCACACAGCTATACTGCCCCCTGCTGCCAGCCTGGGGTCAGCAATGCTACAAGGACCTTAACCCAATCAGCACCCAAGGGGAACTTCAGCCCTGGGGAGCCCATCTTTCCTCCTGCCCCCTCAGTCAAAACCAAGAGCCAGGCCTGGGGTGGCTGGGGTTGGACATGGGCGCTGGAGATATCAGAGCCGCCTTCACAGGTTGCTTCGGCCCTGGGACTGTCCTGCAGCATCGAGGTGGCGTGGAAAGGCCTGTGCAGACCCGGGAGGCCGAGGCCGGGCCTGGCTACCCTGCCCGCTGGCCTTATGGCTGGGGCAACACAGTCCAGTTTCAAGCCCCAGTGTTAACTGTGCCGGTGAGCTGGCTGCCTGATTCCCAGCCACCGCATCCATAAAGCAAGGACAGGGACAACACCTGTCTCCCACTTTGCATGTGAGGGCAGATGAACGAAAAGACAGTGCGGGTGGAGAGGCCTTATACTGCAGGCCTGTTGCTAAGTGGGAAGTGAAATTCTGGTTTTTAACACCATGGAACAGAAAATGTAAGCCTGTCTCCCTTCAAGTAAACCCAACTACTGTCTCGCGCCCCCTGCATCTCCGGCCTATATATGGGGTCTCCCTCACCTCGGGCTGCAAACAGAAGAGTTTCAGAAATGTGGCCCAGAGGGTGCCGGCAGGAGCCCTGGGGCCAGATGGCCTGGTGACTTAACCTCCAGTCCTCAGCAGCCCCTCTGCCTCCACCTGTCTCGTTGCACAATGCGGGGAGACGAGAGGGGGCCACTCCCAGACGGACGCTCCTCCGGTGAGGAGTGAGTGCCCGGTGGAAATTAGCCACTGTTCTCTGGTGTCACTCAGGACACATCACCTCGGGGCTGGGGGCGCCACTTCCCCGCCTGTTCTGAACCCAGTGCAGCTGCCCCAGCCCAGGGCTCCACACCCCTACCCTGGGCTCCACACCCCTACCCTGGTGCATCCCTCCCCTCCCTCCGATCCCCATGTCAGGACAACCTGACCCTCCAAACTGAAAGTTTTCGGGCTTATTGACAACTCCTGCTGCTTCCTGAAGATGAGGCTCAGGCAGCCCCCTCCAGGGTCCCCCTTTCCCACCTCCCTGAGGGACCCAGCAACTTCTCTGAAGCTCCCAGCCCCCGGCTTCCAACTCCCAGCACCTGGAGGCTGGCTGAGGGCAGGGTACCCATCAAGTCCCTCTCAGTCCCAGGCGTCACTGGACAAACAGGAAGCAGGGGACAGAAACCTCCTGGGACTCCTGGGTCTCCAGCAACACAATCCTACGAACCCCCGACCCCGTCTGTGGGCAGTGTGAAGGATGAGGTACCTGCCCACCAGGTGAGGGCTCCCAGCTCCCTACCCCAGTATGGGGCCAGGAGATGAGGCCACAGGGAAGCAGGGAAAACGGGGTGGTCCTTCACTCTGCCAGCTCGGGGCAGTGACAGCCTGAGTGGCCTGGGTGAGTGCTCCAACCCTGCCCCAGGGCACTGTGGGAGACCTCTAGGTGGAGCCAGGTCAGAGATCTCTGCAGCAGGGACTTGAGCAAGCCACACATATTATCACTTTTAATCCTCCCAGCAACCCTATGGGAGACAACTGTTATTCCTTCATGTTAGAGAACAGGGAAACTGAGGCACAGGGAAGTTATAATGTAACAAGGGCTGCACCACTGGCGGGCAATGGAGTCAGGCAATGAGCTATTTAAACTCCTGGGCAAGGATGAAGCCACCAGAGGTCCTACGTCTGTGTAAACAATGGCGAGTGGGGGGAGGTCCTGCCAGGGCCACAGCACCTGATGCTGTCCCCACCCCACTCAGCGCCTGTCACCCAGCCTGTCCACCTGTCCATCTGTCCTTCAGCCTACCCCTACCACCCATCTCCCCTGCCCTGCCCCAAGGCTCTGTGAGCCCAGCAGGGGAGACAAGAGCTGAAAATACCCGGAGTATTTTTAATGCAAATGTCCTGAGTACTGAACACAAGTGAGGGTCAAAGTGACTTAGATGGGCTCTGGCCAGGTGGCCTGGTTGGTTGGAGGATCTTCCCATGCACCAAGAGGTTACAGGTTCGATCCTGGTCACGGCACGTACCTAGGCTGTGGGTTTGACCCACAGTAGGGGTGCAAACAGGAGGCAACCAATCGATGTTTCTCTCCCACCCTCTCTCTCCCTTCCCCCCTCACTCTCTCTCCTTGCCTCTCTCTATAATAAATTCTTTTTTAACGTGACTTAGACAGGAGGAAGGCACCATGGAGTCCCCAGCCACACCCCTAACTGGCCGTGGGACAGATCCCTGACACTCGGAGCCGCATTCTCCTTATCTGAGTGACAAGACTAGAAATGCCAGCCTCAGGCTACTCGGGGCTGAGCGACAGTATGAGCTGTGCACTCACTTTCCCACTCGCACTGATCCGGGCGCGGCTCCCAGCGCCCCACAGAAACACCCCCACGATGACCAAGGGGACAGGCACCCCTGGGGCCCCATTTTACAGAGCAGGAAACTGAGGCACTGGGAAATTGAGTGGCATGCCCAAGATTCCAGAGTAACAAGTGCCAGAGCCAGGATTGCAGCTGACTCCCAAAGTCTGTCTTCCCCACTGTGCTGTCCCACGGCCCCAGGACACAGGCACCGGGACCTCACCTCCCCCTCTGCCAGGCCCTCGGCCTCTTTCTCTCCCCGTCCACCACCCCTGTGTCCACCCAAATCTGCATTCTCCCCATTTCCCTCCTCCCCAGATGCAGTATAGGCAGCAGAGCTGGACCCAGGATCACGTGACTCCTGTCCCTCGGCCACATCCCAGAGCCCCCTGGACAATGGCCAAGACCCCTTTCGCAGGCCTGAGCTGGAAGGAGGAAGGGCCCAGTCAGGCAGGAAGGGAGGAGCCTCCACCCCTTCCCCCTGAAGCACGTCCTGCACAGGGAGAAACAATGTCGCACTGGGCCCGATGCCGGGGGGTGCCGGTGGGGGCAGGGCCCTGGACACGGACGGGCCTGGCCAAGCTGCTTCCAGGAGGTGGGAGGCCCCTGGTGCTGCTCTGCCCCGATTTCCTGATGACCTGTTCCCTGTCTCTGGCATCCCCACTTTCCAGCTCTGACATCAGTGCTTCCTACGCCCTTTCCAAAGCCCAAGTCTGATCAGGTCACTGTGGACTTAGGCCAGGGCACTTTCCAGCTGTGTGACCTCCGGCAAGCCCCTTCACCTCTCTGAGCCTCGGATTCTTCCTCTGTGGAACAGAGGTGGTTATACTGCTGCCTGCCTCCCAGGACAGAGCGAGTGCTCCACGACAGCCAGAGTGGGCCTGCAGTCAGGGACAGCTGACCCCTCGCAGGCTTCCCAGGGGGCTCCAGCCAAAGTCCACGCTCTGCCTGACTCACACAGCCTGCTGTGCTCGGCCCTCCAGCCTTCCCCTGAGTGTTCCGGTCAAGGCCAAACTCCAAGCCCATGCCTGGACAGCCTCTGCGCTCTCTTCCAGTCATCCAGCTGCCCTCCCTCCCTACCTGCTCTCCTGCCAGGGCTGAGTTCAAAGGTCACATTCTCAGCCCTGCCTTCTCCCCCTCCCCCGCTGAGGTCCACTGGGAGCCTGGTGAGGGAGGCCGCCATGGACCAACGCAGCGCAGTCTGAGCCAGCACGTTTTGTGACTGCCATCACAGAGCTGTGTCCAGCCCTGGCTGAGGTGGCCCCACCCTGCTCAGCACAAAGCACGAAGCTCTGCTAGGCGGGGCAGCCTTGCAGGGGCTCTGAGCTGGGAGGACAGGCAGAGTGTTGGTGTCGGTGCAAGTAACAACTACCATTTACTAAGCACCTCCTAGGCACCTGGCAAAGCTAGGTGCTTTACTGACATGAGTCCTAGGCCCCAAACATCTGCATGCAGAAGAGACAGATGGCTGTCCCCTTTAGCCAATGAGGAGACTGAGGCGCAGAGAGGTGAAGTGGCCAGTTACACGGACAACAAACGGCAGTGACAGGGTTGAACCTAAGGTTGGCCTGTGCCTGATAACCTTGCTGTTCTAACGGCCCCAGAAAGGGAAGGCTCAACTTGCTGCTCCCTCCCACCCTGCCCCCGTCACCCAGCGTCCCCCAAGGCACCCCACGCAGCTTCAGTACCTGTTGAAATGGTCCTGGCCTCTGGCCGGGAGACCATCCGGCCTCCCCAAAGGCCACACGCTGTCGGAGGACGAGGACGAGGACAGGCCAGGGGACCAGGGCTTGAGCGTTACACTGTCTAAAGAGAAGGGGTGCAGGTCAGGGGAGCTGGACTGAGAAAGGAGGGAGGACCAGGCACAACTCAGGGCCCAGAGGCCAGGCGCCTGGGCAGGCTTGAGGCCTCGAGAACACTCTGGACCCCCTGGGCTCGGGGCTGGCCTGGGCCTGCCAGGATGACCGCTCAGTTCCCTCAAAGAGAGGAGAGGGCGGACCAGAACTGAGGAGGAACCGCACACAGCCTAGCCAGGACTGCGGCTGAGCTCACAGTACAGCAGCCGCCCCCGCAGGGTCCCCTGAGCAGAGCCCTCCTCCTGGCCAGGGTATGGCAGCGCCTCGGGGAGGGGGACACAGGCCAAGGACAGAGTGGGCAGCAGAGGCCTCAGGGGAGCTAAACAGCTCCCCACTGCGTGGGCCCTCCCCATGGGGTCCCGGAGTGCTCACCTGTGATGTCTGACATGCTGCTGAAGGACCTGGGCAGAGAGAGGGGTGGGATCGGGAGCTGAGGCTCAGCGGGCATCTGCCCCCCTCCCTCACTCCTCCTGCCCCCACACCGCCAGAAGTTCCTGCAGCCCCCAAGCAAATGGGGGCTCGAACCAAGGTGGGGGCCGAGGCACAGGGCACTTAGGCCACACAGCTCGCCCAAACCCACGGGGCAGGAAGCGAACCTCCTGACCTCAGCCCCGCGGCCTCTGCCTGGAGTGCCCTGGCCCCTCCGCTAATGCCACGGCCTCTAGGAACCTGCCCTGACCTCGCGCCCTCACGTCTGCATTGTCGTCCAGGGCCCCTAGGCTTGCCTGCAACACCAGACCACAACCCCCACCACGTGCTCTGTTCATAGCAGATCGATTCACGCAACCAAGCCTGCACCTGGGACGCATGTCAGGAGGGAGACAGATCACCCCTGTGCCTGGTCCCGCCACCAGTGGAGGGAACCGAGCCGGTTCTCCTGGGCCTGTGGCTGCAGATGCCCAAACCCAGGGCCAGCCTTGTGGCTGTGGTCCTGACCCCTCTGCACGCCCCAGTCACAAACCATCCTGCTTCCCTGGGTCCAGGAACTCTGCGGCTCAGCTTCTAAGTGGCTCAGCTCCTACGTGGCTCTCCTGCCAGCCTGCCTGGCTGGGGATGCCCTTGCCCTGCCCTTTGGCCTTGTCTTAACCTGACCTCAATCACGCCTGTGGCTCTCAGGGCCTGGGTTTGCAGCACTCTAGCCATTTAGAGGCAGTAAAGGGAGGGGAGTGCTTGGACTTGATTCTGGCTTTCAGGGTTCTGGGAGGAGCCTGCTTACCTCTTAGCCAGGGCAGGGTCCTCCTCCCGCTGCCGCCGGAGGATGGAGCCAGCGCTGGGTGGGAAGGGCAGGATGGAAAGCCGGTTGATCTCCTTCTCGCTGTCTGTGGCCTCCTCCTGCAACGTCACGACAGAGCCGGGTCACCCCCTCGGCACCTTCCCACAACTCCACAGACGCAAACTGGGGCCCAGAGTGGAGGCGTGGGCTCTATGAGGTCTCACTGTGAGAGCCCCCCCGGGTCTCCTGGTGCCCAGTCCCAGCACAGAGGTGGCTCTGGAGGAGCTTAAACAAGGTGCTGGGCCTTCGTGGGTCCCTGCTTCCTCCTCTGGGACACGGGCCTGTCGGCACACTGGAGAGCACTCAACACGTGAGTCGCTATGTGAACACTAACAGTACCCTCACACTCAGGTGGGCAGGTGTCTTACCGAGGTGTGGGGCTCAGGTGCCCCCGTGGCAGCGGCCTCCCCGGCTGCTTCTGGGCCTCCCAGTGGGGAAGGAAACTCACTCAGGCTCCAGGTGCTGCTGAGGTTGGAGCACAGGGAATGGGAGGAGGCGCAGGCCTGGGAGAGGCAGGGGGAGGCAAGAGGTCAGCAGTGCTGGGCCCAGGATCTGGGCCGGGCTGGCCACAGCCACCTGCTGAACACCTGCCGTGTGCACCTCGGGAGAAGAGGCTCCGTGTCGGAGCGCTCGGCCCAGAGGACAGGAACCACAAGCGAGCAGACGTGAAGGACACGGCCCCACAAAGCCAAGGAGCCGGGAAGGCACTGGCAGGCCCACCCGCCCGGGGCATCAGAGCACTTTCCGGAGGCAGTGTGCTCTGACCTGACAGCACGAGGATAAGCGGGTGCTACAGTTAAATTGGGGGGAATGGCCTAGGCAGATGGAACGGTGTGTGCAAAGGCCCTGGGACAGGACTATGACGTGTTCCAGGATTCAAAGCCTGAGGCCCAGAGAACCAGGCCAGGGGAGGGTAGTAAGGGCTTTATCTTTACCTAAGAGCTAAATTTAAAAAGAAAACACCCTGAGGGTTTAAAAAGTGCCAAGTCACAACTCACACTGTCCTTATCCTGTTCCCCTAGGTGTTAAACACGTAGCCAGGTGACTTATCTCCGAGCAAAATCAAGATAGGAAAAGGCAGAGTTCTTGGCAGAAGTCCAAGAACTAGTGTCTAGTTTACAAGGGGCCTCAGGGGCACAGCCTCAGTATTTGCTGGCCATGTGACCTTGGGCAAGCCCCTGACCCTCTCTGGGTCCTGGGCAGTGATAGAATTGGACTAACTGGTCTCTGAGCAGCTTTTAGAGCCCGTGGTTTGCATCCCAAGATGCTCCCAGGTCCTGGGGCAGCTGGGCCTCTCCAAGTATATTCAAAGAGAGCCTTCGAACTAGTCTTCCTGTCCCAGGAGCAAGCCCCGTTGTCCTGTTCCCTGATACAACCCCCCTAGCTGGGGACATTCTCCACCCTGGCCAAGAGCTGCCCCCAAAGCCAGGGTGAGGCTCCAGCCAGGACCCCCATATCTCCCTCCCCAAACCTGCATCTTCTGAAGCCCAGGTGAGGGTTCCCATGTGATCCCACTCTTGCTGAAGCCTCCCACCCAATCCTGCAAGCCCCACAACCAGCTGCAGATTCCTGCTGATTCCCCCATATTCCCACGCTCGCTGCAGTCTCCCACCAAGTCCCACGTGCTCCCCACCCTGGACAAAAGCTCCTGCCGGGACCCCAGCGTGCCCACCAGGACCCTCCTCACCTTGAGACAGGAGCCGCCCTGAGCCCGCTGCAGCTGTGCCTCCAGCAGGGCCTTGGTGCCCTCCAGGCTGGTGAGCGTGGTCAGCAGCTCGTCCCGCTCAGCCTCCAGGCCCCGCACCTGCTTGCGGTACTGGTCCTTCTCAATGAGGCTCTGGGAGTACTGCAGCTGGATACGGTCTCGGCTCTGGATGGCCTGGGGAGAGCGGGCGGCACACTGACTAGGCCGTCCCTGCCTCCGACCACACACACAGCACGATGGCAGGAACGGCACTTCCTGTGTGCCGGGCCCTGGGCTCAGTATCAGCTCATTCAATCAGCGTACTCACTCCCTGAGTTAGACGTTCTCATCACTCTCACCCTACAGATAAGACTCAGCTGAGGCAGCGAGCACAGGGCTGGGATTCAGACCCAGGCAGTCTGGCTGCAGTGTCCCTCTCCCAAGAACAACTGAAAACTTCGAGGCCTGCTGTGTGGGGCCGTCTTCATTCCCTGCAGCCCGGCCTACTGCGGGAGACCGGACTCCAACCCAGCCCACTGAGTCCACAGCACTATTCCCCCCACCCCACCCCCGATGAAGATCAGGGTCTCTGAGTGCCCAGCCCATGGCCTGGACCCACTGCCCATTGCTTCCAAGAGAGCTGGGGCCAGAAGCCCAGCAGCCAGGAGCAACGGGGCAGTGTACAGAGCCCTGAGCCCACCCAGACCAGAGAACCTGAAGGTCCGGGATGAGGCCTTGAACTGGCCTGTCACCCAGCCAGCCGGGGGACTCCAAGGCCCATTCCAGTGTGCAGACTTCAACTGCTCCAGCGGGATTCACGCTTGATCCAAGGACCGAACTTCCTGCCCTCCCCACTGCACGGGAGCCTTCCACAGGTGGCCCGGGGCCTCAACCCATGGCCCCTGACCATGACAGGGGTGTCACCCAGAGCTTGGGCGCCAAAACTTTTGAGAATTCCTTCATCAGCAAATATCTGTAAGCAGCTGCCCTGGGCAGGCCTTCTTTTTGACGTGGAGAGAATAGGGACTCAGTAGACAGTGCCAGGACCAACTCCCCCACCTGTCCCAGGGGCTCAGGTGAGGCAGGTGTGTTCAGGGGCGAAGCCAGCATATCTCCAGTGCTCAAGGTACCACATCTGACTTCCCCCGGCCTCTCTTCTCCCTCCTCAACCATCTGTGCCCCGAGAAAGTCTCTTTTCTACACTTCCACTTCCATTCGCTTCCCCCCACACGCCGGGTCGGGGCCTCACGCACCGCACAGCGGGCTGGGCTCACCTGGTCCCGCTCCTTCTCGATCTCCTCCAGCTGGGCCAGCACAGTGGCCATGCGGTGCTTGTACAGGTCGCAGTCCTTCTGCAGCGTGCGGTGCTTCAGCCGCAGGTCCTCCATCTCCTGTAGGTACTGCAGACGGGCCAGTGGAGCAGCAAGGGTGCAACACGCCCAGATCAGACTGCTGGGTCGGCAACCAGGGGACACTAACCAGCATGTGCCTCGCAGGTCCAGGGAAAGAGGCCTGTGCCCCCAAAACAAGTGCCCCTCCCATCTCCCCAGATGGGCCTGGCCTCACCTCACCGGGCCTCAGGAGCCTAATCTGTGAAATGGAACTAACAATAATAATGACCCCCACTCCAGCCCACTGGGGCCTCCCCGTTTTCACTGCAGCCTGCTCCCTCCCCCTGCCCTGCCCCTTCCTCGGCCCTCACCAGCCTCTGCTATGGGAAGCGGTTGACTTGGTTTGCGTATATGGCCTACAGTTGGTCTCCCCTGTCAGAACATAACTCCCCAGGGACAGAGACATTGTTCACGATGTGTCCCAATAAATACTTGAAACTGAAGAAAAGCCCAGATCCCAGCACAGTGCCTGGCACACCTGCAGGAAAGGTTGGCTCCAGTGAACCGGTGACACGCGCCACCATTTCCTCTCTGGGAGCCTCCGAGGGCTGCTTTCAGAAGGAAGGTGGGGAGAGGATGGGGGTGAGCCATGGGGGGTGGGGAGGGAGGGCATGGTGGTGTTACCTTGTCCCGGAGCTCCTCGGCCCACTGCAGCTCCCCCTGCACAGCGTGCAGCTTCTGGCACAGCTCCTGTCTGCTGTCCTGCGCCTCCCGCCAGTCATGCTCCAGGATGTCCAAGAGGATGCGCTCTGAGCCTGGGGCCCCCGGCTGGCTTGCCTCCTGAGGGCCAGGGGTCAGGGCTGCCTCAGTGTCTGGCCCACGTTGAGTGTCAGGGAAGGGGACACGCACGACACACGGCCCTCGGCCCTCAGCCCCACCCCACTAGCTCTGCCACCTTGGCCAAGGACCTGGCCCTCTCGGGACCTCAGCTTCCCGTGTGCAGAGTGAGCAGGGCTCTGCCAGCTCTGCCTGCCGCCGGGGAGTGCCTGGGTGTGCATGAGGTAAGCGGATGAGGGCTTGTGTGGACAAGTTTAGCCAGGGCCTTGCTCCTGAACAAGAACTAGGCACACTTTCTCTTGCTCCAGTCCCCACCCACCGCCCAGAGCAGCAGATGGGTGGCTACTTCCAAGCCTATTTGGCACTTCAGATGGCAGCTGAGCCTGGCTTAGGTGGGCAGACCATGAGCCCAGGATCTGGCCCCCAAACCCACATCCCAGTCAGCACCCCAGATGAAATACACCAGAACCTTGGCTCCCATCCCCCACTTCCTGCATGGAGCAACGGCCAGGTGACTGGCCTCCACTGCCACTGGCCTGCCATAGGACACCCAGCATGCCCAAGGCCACCCAGACCTCGGGAGTCTCAACATTTACAGTGCCACAGATTCTTCTACGAATCCGAGCAAAGATGGGGACCCTGCCCCGGGAGAAAGCTCACACACAAAATCAGGCACACAGTTCCAAGGCATTCAGAGATCTCCAGCCCCACCCCACTCAGACTAAAGGCCAGAGAGAGCAGAGTGCTCAGGGCTCACCCCAGGAGGCCAGCTTGGCTCCACTCAGACCTCAGCCCCCAGTGTGGACTCTCCATCCTCTGACCACCACACCCCCACCCCGGGGCCATGCCCTCACCTGCTGCCGGCCCTCCTGCAGCTCCTGCAGAGACGCTGTCAACCGCTGGTTCTCAGCCCGCAGCTCAGAGACCAGGTCCGTGCTGTCCGGCTCTTTCTCCTTCTCCTCGGCCCCGGGGAGTGGCCCCCTGGCCCTGCGCAGCAGCGTGCACTCTTCCTCCAGCTGGCTCACCTTGAGCTTCAGCTGATCCACCTGGGTGCAGACACGGGGCTCAGCCCAGGGCAGGACCCGAGCGAGGCCAGGGGACAGAAGCCCTGCTCCTCACTCCTGGGCGCCTCCCAGACCCCCAGGGGGCCAGAGCAGGAGTCCTGCTGAGCTGGTCCATGAAGAAAGTGCAGGCTGGGCGGATGCGAGGAAGAAGGAATGGAACAGTGGGGCCAAGCCACCCTCCGAGGGGACTCTGCACCATAACACCCTGGTCTGTTGGTCCGTCCCGCAGTTCTGACACGGGGTGCAGGCTGTGGAGCCCAGCACCAGCGTAAAGGAGGGGAAGGAGGAATAGAGGGAACCAGGGTCTGGACCCAGCTTTGCCTCTAACTCAGTGTGGCCTTGGGCAAGTCATGGCCTCTCTCTGTGCCTCAGTCTCCTTGCCTCCAGGGAAGAAGAGGAAGAGAATGGTTTTGAGGGTCTCACCCAGGCCGAGAGCCAGAGGGTTCCCAGCCCACCCCCCAGAAGGCTGTGCTGTTAGTTCACCCCCAACAAGAACTCTAGCCCGGGGCCCAGGTTTCAGTTGTACCCCTTTTACCCACCCTCATCCTGAGCAAGTCACTCATCACCCTGGGGCCTCAGCTTTCTTGTAAGTAAAACAGGCTCGTCCCACCCCCCGCCCCACCCCCAGCCTCCTAAAGTCACTGCCAGAACCAAATGGGATGGAAGGTGGGCAGAGGCCGTTACACCGGCAGAGGCTGTCTACAGAGCTGCCGGGGTGTGACAGTGGCTGTCTTCACAGCTTCGCACAAAGTCCCAACCTGCCACCAGTTCAGTGATGCAGCCAGAAGTTGGGCAGGGGGTGGGGGCGGGGGATGGTAGGCAGCTGCAGCCGCCTGGCTGCGCACAGATAGGCACGATCAGTCTGCTGGACCATGAGCGCACTCAGCCAGAACCCTTTTCCAAATTCATGTGGGATCTGAGTTGGCTGGACAGTGACAAAAGGAGCTGAAGGTGGCAGGCCACAAAATGAAGTCATTGTTGGGAAAAGGCACCATGACCTCTGTCTGGTGCTACTCTCCAGTGTGCCAATGTCCGGTGCCCCAGGGGTGCCCCGGGCCTCTCTTGGAGACTGACCTGCAGCCTGGCACTGCTCAGAGCCCAGCATCACAACACGCATGTGCGTGCACACACACACACAGGCCTGGAGGCGGGGTCAGTTCCTCCTCCGCAAGGGACTCGGAAAGAAAATCATGATTCTCACATTCCTTTCGCCTCACAAAACATGCTCTGTGAGCCGCCGGACAAAGACAGCCAGTTATGAGGGCAAGTGTGGCCACTCCCCTCCAGCAAACCGCAGCCACACACCACGGCCTCCCGCCTGACCATTGGCCAGAGAGCTGCCCTGATGAGCTCCAGGGACAGGGCACCTGGGCGTCTCCACTGTGTGCCAGGAAACACGGATGCATTTAATCCCAGTGTACAAGCTCGCTTAGCACAAAATTACAGTGTTGGCACCTCAAGTTTGTGTTGCTTAGAAATAACAGCTCATTAAATTTGCACCTTATAAAACACAGTATTAAATCACAGCCACCACACACCTGTCCACGGGAAAAGGAGACCCAAGCTGCCAAGACAAACACCCTCAGCTGTTCCGTTCACTTCCATCTGCCCTGCCTTTGTTAATTTTTGTACCAAAAAAAGCTCCAAAAACTTAGGAAACTTTACAGTAGCTACATTTAAAGAAAAACATATCTATTAATTGAATTTCACTCCTTACTCTCTACCTCCTGAACTGGGAAAAAGCAACCACTCCCTGCCTAGCGGCAGATGACCATACACCTAGGTGGTCATACTATGGTCACCTATGGCTAATCTGGAGACACCTCTAACGCCTCTTCTTCACCCCCCTACCCCACCCCAGGAGACCCCAGTCAGCTGGACACACACATAGGACACTCTCCCTATAACATGCCCAACACCTGCCACTTCAGGGGACCCGATTAATAATTACACCCAACCCAAAGCTGAGGAAAGCCATTCCGGCCCCAGCGCCCCCAACACCCTGGGCGGCAGCTATCAGGCTGTCCCCTCCCAGTGGCACAACCCTTCTCCCAGGAAAAGCCACACAGCCGGGCTCATGGGTCTGTTTCAGAGAAAGAGGATGTGGATGGAGACGGGGGACCCCAGCTCTCCCCGCCTGCCCCCCATCCCGCCCTACCCCAGCAGTGCTAAGAGCAAAGTCAGAAATTCTCAGTCTCGGGACCCTGGGAAGGTGCTCTAACTGACCTCTCTGTGCCTCAGTTTCCTCATCCATAAATGGGGACAACGATGGCGTCCCCACCTGTCCCAATAGAGTTGTTGAAAACTGGAGGAGCTGGTACAGGGCAAGCAGCGAGGACCGTGCCCAGCGCACAGGAGGTGCCATTCCATTACATCGTCCTTACCCATGACCTCTCACCTCCAGCACGATGAGGAAACTGAGGCTGAGAGGGAGGCCTTGCCCTGGCCACCCTTTGCTCAACCTGCAGCCAGTCTTGGGCCTCAGAAAGCCCCGCCTCCCACCAAACCCCAAGCAGACCCCCAGAAAACAGCCTCCTGGTCTCTCACACCGTGCGTCTGCCTCCTACACCCTTGAGCAGGCCTGGCAGCCTGCGCCCTTCAACCCCTGGCCTCAGCAGGACTCACTTCCCCAAACGTCGACATGCTGGCACGCACAGCCGCAGGCTCCTTCCTGCTCACCTGTGCACCCACGCCGACAGCCTCCCGCAGCCTCCCATCCTGGCCTGCAAAGCCATGGCCTCACCGAGGCTCGTGGAATCGGGCCTCAGATCCCCCCCGTCAGCGCCTCCCGCATGCTGCTGGCACGGTTACATCCTCAAAACAGTTCGTCGGGGCAGGAAAATACCAGCTCCATTCTCACGCTAAGTGCCACCGAGGAGGAAGGCTCGGTGTCTCCAGCTGGTGCCAGGCAGACCTGGTTCAAGTCCAGGTTCCATTTTGCAGCTTTGTGATGAGCAAGTCCCTTTCCAGTCTAAGCCCCCACATCTGGGTTTGGACACGAGAACCTCGTGCACGATGGCTCTGTGGATCGTGTGCCGGGACACGTGGACACACACGGTGCAGTAATGACAATGGTGGCTAACAGAAACGCAGGTTTGAGCACAAGTCTGTGCCACGCCCTGCACACGCCTTCAGCTGATGGCACCTTACAACCCAAGTCCTCTCCGCCTTGGCATTCACTAACATTCTGGGTTGAGTAGTTCTTGCTTGTGGGGGGCTGTCCTGTCCACTGCAGGGCGTCCAGCAGCATCCCTGGCCTCTACCCAATGGCACACTCCCAGTTGTAACAACCAAAAGTGTTTCCAGATATGGCCACTGTCTCCGGAGGCAAAACCTCCCCCAGCCGAGGACCACATCACAGCTCAATGAAACAAGCACCACCCACACCCCCACATTACAGATGAGAAAACAGAGGCACAGGGTGGTGAAAGGACTCGCCCACAGTCCAAGAGCAGGCAGACAGCGGCTCTGGGACGGGAGCAGGCTACTCTATAACCATCGTTTTTTTGCAAAGTCCGCCCCTTCCCCACTGCCAGGGCCTACCGCCAGCTGCAAGTCACGGCTGCGCAGGATGGCAGAGTTCTTCTCCTCGCTGAGCTGCGCCAGACGCATGGCAATCATGTAGTTCTCGTCCTTGAGCCGCAGCAGCTCCAGGCTGCCCACCTCCCAGTCCTCCCGCAGCCGCTGGCAGCGCTCCTGTGCCTGCTGCTGCTCCCGCAGCCTCTGCTCCAGCCTTGCCCGCTCCTCCTCCAGGAGCCGGCCCCGGGCCTGCAGCTGCTGCTCCCGCTGCAGCTGGCTCTTGCGAGCCTCCCGCAGCCGCCGCACCTCGGTCATCAGGAACTGGGTCAGGCCCTCTGGCCCCTCCTCATCTGCCGGGGACAAAAGTCAAGTCAGGCAAAGAAAACCCACGGGGACAGCGAACGGCACTGAAAAACCCAAACCACAAAAACACCAGGGGAGAATTCTGAAATGTATATTTGTAATTTGGCAGTAAGGAAGGCCTTCCTGAACAAGGCACGAAACCAGGGGGCTATAGAAGAAAAGGTAGACAAATCATTATACCAATGTTAGAATTTCTGAATGATAAAAGATACAACAAATGAAGTTAAAAGACAAGCAACGGAGCAGGAGAAAAATAACAAAGGATTCAGAGCCACAATATATCAATCAATAAGAAAAGGCAAATAGCCAAATAAAACCATGGCTAAAAACTCAGTAAGTACATCCCTCACCAGCAATAATAATAATAACAACAACCACTAACATTTTACTTTATTCTGTGGGCTAGGTGCCTCTATTAATTTATTCAGCTTTCATGACAACACATAAGATAGCTACTATTATTGGACCCACCCTAAAGACAGAAAAACTGAGGCACAGAAAGGGGAAGTGAATTGCCTAAGCATCCCTAGTTAGTAAGCTATGAACTACATCTCTCAGTGAAGTATGAACTTAAAACAGTAACATTATTTTTCTGACATATCAAACTATCAAAAATGTTTTCCATGCCAGGATGCACGCAGGCGCAGCAAAACTGACGTGCACTGTGGGTGGGATGTGTGTTGACTTAGCCTTTGAAATACAGTCTTTGAGAAAATGCACTTCTCAGAGGCTCTCCTCTGAGATACATACACACACACACACACACGTGTGCAAAGACACAGGCAGAAGGGTGCTCCCGGCATCACTTGTCATGTCGCAGGACTGGAAACAACCCCGATGTCCCTCTACAGGTAACCAGGTAAGTGACTTAGGGCCCCACCAATAGACATTACACCGTCACTGAGGACAAGTTAACAGATGTGCAGAAATCACAAAAACCCGCTGTTCTGAGAAAATGGATCTTGTCAGAATGACACATGTGGAGCAACACGGGTAGGATAATTCTGTGCATGTGTGCATGTGTGTGTGTAAACACGAAGATACCAGAGACTCGCCAACCTGTGCCCAGTAGAGCAGAGCTGAAGGAAGGAGTGAAGACCTTTCCTTTCTGTCAAGTCAACTGGAGCACTTTGGGTTTTTTACGTTAGAAACAGTATCCCCATGTTGCCTGACACACATGCGTCCGCAATTTTAGGGGCCTTGTTGAGTGCGTGGCCTCTGAACCCGCACTGACTGGATGAGAGTCTCAGCCCCACATGCAGTCTGCCAGGGGCCCAGGCAGACCTCTGCTGTGCCTCAGTCTCCTCGTCTGTTCTACAGGGACGGTGGGTGCCCGCCCCCCGACAGGGACGGGGCAGGGAAGGAGCCCCTGTGCGGCTGTCCGAGGTGCAGCACCTACTGTGGACCCACTCACCGAGGATCATGGAGCAACGCTGGGCGGGCTCTTGGCCGGTGAGCAGCGTGAAGTGCTCGGGGTAGTAGAACTCCAGGGCTTCCAGGAAGGCCTCGTAGCCCCTCTTGCCTCGGCAGCGCAAGATGTCCATCAGGCGCCCTGGGGCGAGGCGGAAGGGTGCCCAGAGTTCAAGGTGAGAGCTTCCCGCAGGGCCCAACAGCCAGTTTCCCCACAGTGTTCCTGGGCCCACGCTCCCCAAATGTTTAAGCCATTGACACATGCAGAGGCTTGTCGCAACACATCATGGGGAGAGCCCATCTGCCACCAGCAGGAGAGACAGGACTCCCCTCCACCCACCACAGCACCTGCATTTCAACACCCAGCACCCAGCCTGCCCCCTCTGCCACCACAGACATGGGGCCAGCAAATGCTGCCTGTCTTTTCAGTGACACTCAGAAGACCCTCTGTCCCCAAAAGCAAAGTAAAATATTTCTCCCATTGGCCAATTCCTGCAAGTCCATTAGACTCTCATTCCCTTTGCCAGCCCTGGTTCAAAGTCACATCCCATGGCAGAGAACACTCTCATTAAGTGGAGATGGGCCTTGAGCACTTGGGGGGAAAATAACTCTCCAAGGAGAGCCTCTGTGTGGCTCACAGAAGGAGGGAGCAGAGGGAACTGAGGAAAGGGCACAGCCCACCAGCTGTGACCCTGAGGTTCCTGGCTTCGCATGCCCTGCTGACCACATCCAACCCCACTTTCATGTGGGCCCAGGAAGTGGGAGGAAGCCGCAAGGCAGACAAGACCCAGACGCTGGGTGGAGCGCCGCGGACCTGCTGGGTCGTGAAGGTGGTCCCGGAGGTGGCAGGATGGTGGGCACACCAACCACCCCACTCTACAAGCCTGTAGAGCCCAGGGCTGGGTGTGCAGCCGTCTGGGGCGCCACACACTCGGCCCGACCCTGACCCCCGCGGCTCACCGGTGCGGTTGATGCGGCAAGGGAAGCGGTAGGTGCTCAGCACCTCCTCCTCGTCCTGCTCGTCGATGACCCGGCACTGGCGCAGGTACGGCGTCAGTTTGGCCGGGTTGAGGGCGCGAGTCAGCCGGTGCCGGACGCCCTCGATCCGTTCCCACAGCGCGTCCTCCTCCGCCTCAGACCCGGAGCCGGCCCCGGCCTCCTCCTCGGCCTCCCCCGCCTCGGCCCCCGCCGGCATGGCCGCGTCCTCGGGGTCTGTGGGTCAGAGGCGCGGAGGATCAGCAAGGTGCCCGGGGCGTTGCCCGCCGGCCCGGCCGCCCGGTGTCGCCGGCGCCCGCGCGGCCCCGCGGTCCTCGGCCCCAGCGCCCCCAGCGGCCCGGACTTACCGCGCACACCGCAGCCGGCTCGGGCTCCCGGCTCTGTGCTCGGGCGGCGGCTCCGCCGGCGCAGGGGAGCGGTGTCCCCCGAGCCCCCGGCTCCGCCCCTGTCCCCTCCGCCGCTGCTGGGGCTGCCCGGGCCTCCCCACATTGCCGCCCGGGCAGGGCTGAGAGTCCGGCCGGCTGGCCCCCCGCACGTCCGCCCGCACGCCTGGCCTCCCCGCCGTCCGGCTGCGCCTCCCCCAGCTTCCTGTTTCCCGCCCGCTCTCCGGGCCAGGCTCCGCGGGGTCGGCGCGGCCCGCCCACACCTGCCCAGGCTCAGCGTGGGGCGGGGCGGGACACGCTCGTTCACACCCTCCCGCACTGCACTACACACCTTTCTGGTCACACGGCACCACACCCCGAGCCCCGCATGGTCCCCCTACCACCCTCCACCCCCAGGAAGCTCAGACTCGCACCTTGCGGGGACGCAGCAAGGACGCGACCGCGCAGGGGTAGGTCACTCCAGGACAGTGTCCTAGAAGCACGCGGTGACATACCCGCGCACCGCCTCACACCCAGAGCTCCTACAGCACAGCGGTCCTAGCCGACCTACACACCTCACCCACCCTGAACATATGCCACACACGGTCACACTCCTACGTACTTCTCCATTTCCCAGGAAATGACCCTGAAGTGTGGGGCCAGGGCTCCCAGGCTTCAGAGAACTCCTGCCCCACCGCATGCCGGGGGCCAAAACACTTCCACCGCTGGCTCAGCTGTGGGCCACGGGGCCCTGCCTATGGGGGCACCGCCTTGGAGCATAGCATCCTGAGCCTTGCTGGCCCTCCGACCTGTCCCTGACCTGGGCAAGGGCTGGCCCTCTTGAGCCTCAGTGTCCCCAGATAGACCGCCAGCTCTGGCACCTTCCCTGGAGCTTTAGGGCAAGCCCTTGGGGCGGGCAGCCCAGGGCAGAGGTCAAGACCACCTTCTGGGTTAGAGGAGTGTGAACTCTCAGAACTCTGCTAGCTCCCTGCCTCCGCAAAACCTCACACAGACAGGGAATCCCACATGCCCTGAAGAATGGTCCCCCAGATGCTGGGCCCAGAAACACTGGGGTGCCAGTGTGTGGTCATAGTCGGGTGAGTTTGAGAAATGCTGCACCCACACTCCTCCCTCCGCCCTTGGGAAACGCGTGGTCACTCGGCACGATAAAGTCTGTGCCCCTGTCTGCTGATACAAGCAATGATACCAGCTCTCTGGGCACTGGAAGGTGCAGGGTTGGAGGGGCCAGGGCTGGTGCGGGAGAGAGCTGTGAGCTTCCCAAACCCCTTCCCCAGACCCCAGAATTGTCACATGCCAGTGTATTATTTATCCCCCACCCCCAAAAAATTAGTTTTCAGCCAATAAAAGCTCTGAAAAGCCCCTCAGTGAAGACATTGGTTTGACTTTATATATCCTGGTGTTGCTTCCCAAACCTACAGAAGTTTGGGGGTGGTTATTTGCCGTTTGTTTTTGCCTGGGGATCACCTGTTCACATGCAGCTTTGGAAGCACTGAAGTCAGAGTGCGAGTCCCCAACCCACAGAGGAGGAAGCAGCGGCCCGACCGGGCAAGGGAACCGCCCCGATCCACACTGCAAGGAGGCCGCAGTGGAGCAGGCCAGAGCCCAGCCCGGGGCTCAGGCACGCACCTGGCCCCCTCCAGCACACCCTTCCTCCCTGTGACCCCAGTGCCCTCAGCCTCCTGTTTTTTCCCAGCCGCAGCCCTGTTCCTTGTGAAGTTTTAACTTGGCTGGGAGAGCAGGGTGGGAGCCTTGGAAAAAGAGGCTGTGGTTAATTATTTTCTCATCAGGAAGGCTAAGCAGAGCCCAGAGAAAAGACACAGAGAAGTGGGAGGACTTGGAGCCCTGGCAGGGGTTAGCTGGGCACCCCTGGGTGCCCGACACTCCTGAGGAAGCTGCAGTTCCCGTGGGTGCCAGGCTCACGTTTGCTCACAGGCAGTTACATACACCCACACCAATAGTCACACACACACACACACACACACGGTGGACTTCCAGCCATGTGGGAGGCCGTGGGGACGTACCGCTGCCCCACAAAGCAGAGCCTCCTCACCTGCATCGGGCCCTGGGCACCCACAGCACGGAGCACGGAGATGTGCAATTAAGCGTCATCTCTATCACTGTCTTCTCATGGGTCTGCTCTGGCTGCACCAGGAAGGCAGGGCTGTGGCGGGGAGACAAGGGGTCCAGCCCTCGAAGCAGAGGCCCTGAGTCCTGTCTCATGCTCGCTGCCAGGAGTGCTGTTCTTTGGAGCCTCAATTTCCTTCTGCAAAAGGCAGGTGCTGAGTAATCCCAGCCACACCTAGAGAGAGAGACTGTCTAGAAGCAGAGAAAGTAACCTAGGGGCCTATTCTTGACCTTCATTGTGTCTCCATCAGCAAATGCCTTCCCACTCAATCGCCACATCTGTAAAACGGGCACAGCAGTCCCCCCAGGGCAGGCACTGCCTCTGAGCTGCAGTTCCTGTGTCTGGGAAGTGGGGATAGGGACGTCAGTTCTCTCCCTGCTTCACAGCAAAGCAGGTGCCCAGGTCCTAAACCCGTCCACATCCCACCACCTCTGACCCCACTGGTCCAAGCCACACACCACCCACCCATGGGGCTCTGGTCTCAGGCCACCCTCAGCCAGAGGGATCCTTTGAAAAACAGAATGGTTTTGGGTCGGCTTTAGCACAAGTGGTTACCACATCGTGGCAAATACTAAAAACAGAACAGTTTTCTCTCCTGCTTCAAACCCTCCAAAGGCTTCCCAGCCAACTGGACTAAAACAAGCTGCCCCACCCCCCTTCTCCCACTGCCCCACTCACTCAGGGGCCTCATTCTGCTCCGGAGCTGACCAGCTTGCCCGGCCTCTTCCCTCTGCCTGCATTGCTTGTCCCGCGATTCCTGGCACGGAGGGCTCCTTCTAGAGCTTCAGGTCACCCGTGAGTGTCACCTCCCTCCGTGGGACAGGAGCATGCACACAGGGAGCACCCCCCTGTGCCGTTCCCACGAACCCACTCAACCCCCTCCATGCTATTGTCCTCCCATCCCTTGTTCCCAGCACACATTTCACTGTTTAACTGTCCTTTGCTGCTTCCCCTCCAAGAACAGAGGCGCCCCAGGTCAGCAGGAGAGGTTCGGAATGTTCCAAGGACAGTGAGGATGAGGAGTGGAGCAGGGCAGAGAGGAAGTCGGAGAAAGGAGCAGGAGACGGAGCAGAAGGCTGTGGCCAAGGCTGCGGTTTTCCCTTTTATCTGTCATTACCCGGAGCTACTATTTATTGTCCCCCCCCCCCCCCACCCCCGGCACAGCCACAGGGCCCGCAGAGGTGGGGATCTGCTCTTCCATTCACTCTTTCCATTCACCAGAGGGTGCCCCTGGCCCCGGTCCCTCTCTCTTCCCCTTCGGCAGCCTCTGCCCACATCCCAGGAATCGGAGCCCTGGCTTATCTCTCCTGCTACATGTAAATGGGGGTTCGAGGCCAACCGGGGCTCCCCCACTCCAGCTGCAGACAGATTGCACCTTTTCTGGCCGTCTCTTCAACGAGAGCTGGGCCCGGGTCCCACCAGTGCCCCGCAGAGGACCTGGCTCATAGTAGGTGTTGAACAGCAGATTGGGGAACAGATCCAGACTGGGGAGGACTTTTGATGGGCTGCACACTGCGAAAGCCAGGCCGCCCGGGGTTCAAATCCCAGTATAATTGGTGTGTTGTGATCCTAGGCAAATTCCTCAACTTTTCTCACACAGCCCGAGCACAGGCTCGATCCAAATGACCTCACTCAACTGAACGCATCCTTCCACACCTGTTCCCTCCCCACTGCTCCGTGTCCCCCAGGGGGCCTCCGTGAGGTGTGTGCACTCCCTGGGACCTGTTCCGTGGGGCTGGGGACGGAAGGCGCTGGGCTGGGCATCTGCTGTAATCAGTCACAGGCGTCTACGCTAGAAGCATCTTTGAGACCGCCATGACACAGAAGGGAAGCCTGCCACTTGTGACGAGAGATGGGCCGTGAGGGCCTTCTGCTGAGTGAAATAAGTCACACAGGGAAAGACAGATCCTGTATGATCTCGCTTATTTGTGGGATCGAAACAAAAAGAGAAAATGAACTCAGAAATGGAGAACAGATTGGCGGTGGCCCGGGGTGGGGAGATGGGGGAAGAGGCCGAAAGGCCCCAATTTCCAGTTACGAGATTAACGGTTTTGGGGAATGTGGCCTTCGGCACGCCGCCTGCAGTTAACCGCATCGTGCTGTAGATCTGAAGGTTACTAACAGAGTAAGTCCCAAAAGTTCTCATCACAGGAAAAAAACCATCTGTAACTATGGGAGGTGACCTATGTTAACTGAAGTTATTGCCTCTTGTTTTGCCATCTAGATACATAAATCAAATCATTATGTTGTACAACTGAAACGAATGCAATGTTTTATGTCGATATATCTCGATAAAACTGAGCGGGAAACACTACCATTTTACAGAAGTTGGAGAAACTGAGGCCCGGGGCTGCAGTGGCCTGAGTGAGCCCGGGCTCTCCAACGCAGGGACAGCAGGGCTCCGAGAAGCAGAGGAAGAAGTGGCCTGCGGGAGCCGTCCTCCAGAATCACGTGATGCCGGGGGCTCTGCAGGGGCCCGGCGGGCAGTGGCCCCGCCCTGCCTTCCCTTGCCCCCTCTACCCTCAGCAGCCTAGGTTCAGGGGAGGACCGGCGGGGCGTAGAACTAGTGACTCACCCTCATCGCTATCAGGATCAATAGCAGAGAGGTTCGCTCCTGTGTGTCTTTGGGGTTCCTGTGGGGTTCGGAGCTGAGCTGGGCAGGGCAGTCCCTGGCCGTGGGGGTCCAGCCTATGCCAGGGGATGCCGAGAGCTGGGAGAAGACAGAGAAAGGGGCCAGAACTGAAGCCGGGCTTCTCTGCCTGGCCTCCCTCACTGTGGCTGTGCTACCTGGCCACATCACTGGGCCTCTCTGGGCCTCAGTTTCCCCCTCAGCACCATTCTATCATCAGAGGGAGAGGCCCATCCCGTAAGCCACTGACACTCCTCTTGAGAGAAGATGGTGACTCCAAAGAAGAAAAGGACACCACACCTCTGTGGGGGCTCGAGCTGCCCATCAGCTCTCCGGGGAGGACACCGCAGCAGAGGCGGCCACCGGGGATGCGGCCTGGAGCCCGGAATTCCAGAGAGAGGCCTGAGGAATCATCCCGGCTGAGTCAGTAGGAAAGGGCAGACTGGGGGACTTGTCTGCTCTGAGTCACTGGGGCCCATGAGCTTGAGGGCTTGTTTGCCTTTCTCTGCTGCCTGCT